TGCGCATCCCACTCAACACCTCTTGCAACAAGCCAACTTTCTTCATAATGCTTGCCAATGACACATTTGGGCTTTGAATTTTTTCATTAGCTTCTTTTACAGGACCTGTGACTTTCACAAGAACTGTTAGTGTAAAGTTTGTTGAAAGACTGAAGTTGCTTCAAGAATCCATTAAGCTTATGCCCAAATAAATTTGTTAGTCTCTAAGGTACCACAAGTACTCCTCATTCTTTAAGTTCATCTAGGCAGTTCATCATGGCCTTGTAGTTGTGGAGCAGTGATTTAATGCTACAGATCCTTGGCGTCATCTTGTTGGGCACAATGGTCTTAAAGAAGGTTCCCCTTCATTCTGAAACTCTCTGAATGCTGCCATAAGTTTTGGTGACTTCCTGAAGGCACTGATGAGATCTTTCACCATCGAAAACATATCACAACATTCTTGAATATTATGCAGGGCATCCTGCATGGTGAGGTTAAGGAAATGTGCAACACAGAGCACAAATTCTGCTCTCAGCTCTTGATCCTTCACTCTGGCTTGGACCCCAGTAAATATGCTGGACACATTACTGGCTCCGTCGTAACACTGCCCCCAGCAATCAGAAAAGGGGAAATCACACCTGAGAAGTGTATCTTCCACAATTTTGAAAAGAGAAGCAGCATCCATTGCGTAAGTTTGGTAAAACCCAATAAACTCCGCATAAATCTCCCAGTCTTTACTGGAAAAGAACCTTAAAGAAAAACTTACTTGTTCTTTTCTTGACAAATTGGTAGCCTCATCCATTACAATGGCATAAAACTTAGAAGCCTTTATCTTTTGCACAATTTGTCTTAGTGCCATCATTTCGATGATTTCGTTAATAACCTAATGTGACAGCCACTTGTATTTTGTGTGATTAAGCCAGTGTCTCAGTTCCTCTGAATCTGTACTGCGTAGCAACAAGAGCTGCATCCAGTTTGAATCACTCTCATTATGCCCACGTAACGCTATTCCTTGTTCAGCTAGGTACTGAACACTGGTAAAAACGTTGTGCAGTGCAATCCTAGCTGATTGTGATTCTTTTCAGTAACTGGCCAGCATTAGTGCAGAAACATTTACCTGTGGCTGCCAGAGGCAGCAGGTTTGTATAATTTTTGGTGGTGCCCAGAACAGGTTCAAGTCCCCCCCCGCCACACACACATTAAAGTCGTCCAGAGTTAACGTTGTTTTGTTGTTACGTTGCTGATCAATTAGTGCAGTGATTCTTAAATTTTTTTTTTTCGCAGACCACTTGAAAATTGTTGAGGGTCTCAGCAGACCACTTAATGATCTTTCCAAATGTTGTTTGTACCATTAGCTAATGATTGTAAAGCGCTTTGGATAAAAGCGCTATATAAAAAAACCCTTAATAATAATAATAATCTTTTTTTGTTCTACACATAAAAGCACACAACTCATATTTTAATATCAGTAGTCTTAATCTTTCTAATGGGATGGATGTGCCCTCTCTCCCCCACCGTGGCAGTCCCCGAGCTGGGGCTGGGAAGGAGGCAGAGGGTCTCTCCCCCTCTTCCCCCACCGCAGCTGGGGCTGGGAAGGTGTGGGGGGTCTCTCCCCTGCCACAGCAACCACAGAGCTGAGGCTGGGAAGGAGGGCTGTCTCTCCCCGGCAGCCGCCTGGAGATGGGAAGGTGTGGGGGGTCTCTCCCCTGCCACAGCAACCACAGAGCTGAGGCTGGGAAGGAGGGCTGTCTCTCCCCGGCAGCCGCAGCCCTGGAGATGGGGAAAGTCACCTCTTTCTCTGGCAGCCACAGCCCCGCACATCCCAAATTCCCCCCACCGCCTCTTCTCACACCACTGCCCTCTCCCACCTACTTCCTATTCCCTCCAAGGCCACCACCTGAGCTTACATGTGCATCTTCTCCAGGGTCCAGGCATCTAATTAGTGGAGCCATGCCTGTGCGGCCACACTAATTAGGTGAGTGGCCCTTCATTTTCTTACCTGCAGCCGCCCAGGCATGCACCTTAGAGGGAACTATCCACGGACCACCTGAATGGAGCTCGGACCACAGTCTGAGAACCTCTGAATTAGAGAACAAGCTCATTTAAAGTTGTTTGGCAGCCGCCTGCTTTGTCCACTGCTTGCAGAAAGAGCAGCCCATTGGAGCTAGTGGTGGGGGCTTGGAACCAGGATGGACCAGCAGCCCCACTAAGTTCCCTGTGTGGCAGCTGCCAAGCAGGCTATCAATTGCTGGGCAGTTCAGGTGTCCCTCCCACCACTCCTGTGTGCTGCTCCTGCCCTTTGCCTTGAAATGCTCCTGTGAACCTCCTGTTTGCTGTGCAGGGGCGGGGGTGGGGGGTGGGAAAGAGGGGTGCTGACGTCAGGGTGTCCCCCTTCCCCGTTCCTCCCCCCATCTCCACAGAACAGGGTGGGGACACGACAGGGCTCAGGACAGAGGGAGCTTGCTGGCAGCAGCTGCGGTCTCAACTTGCTGATCTACTTAAAAAGGCAGTGTACTTAGAGTGGGGTCAGCCTACTTTAAAGAGGCAATGCGTGTCTCTCTCTCACACACAGGGTGTGTGCCTCTGTCTCTCTCTGCCATGCTGTCTCCCCTCCCTCCATTCCTGCTGCCTTGTAGAGTGTGAGGCTACCTTAGCAACAATGTGTTAATCCTTGAGGGCTCAGCCCAGTGCTAGTTCATCATTAAGCAGTAAGGCATTCCCTGGGAAATATCCCACCCTCTGCCTCCACCACCTCAACCAAGCTTCACAATCATCATTGCTGTGTACAGTATTAAATTGTTTGTTTAAAACTTATACTGTGTTTGTGTGTATGTGTGTGTGTGTATATATATATATATAAATAAAATATAGTCTTTTGTCTGACAAAAAAAATTCCCTGGAACCTAACCCCTGCTATTTACATTAATTCTTATGGGGAAATTAGATTTGCTTAACATCATTTTGCTTAAAGTTGCATTTTCCAGGAACATAACTACAACATTAAGCGAGGAGTTACTGTATATTTTTTAAAATAATGTAAATATGTGAGGGCTTAGGGGTGGGGCTGGTGATGAGGGGTTTGGGGTCTGGGAGGGGCTCAGGCAGAGGGTTGGGGTGAGGGCTGTGAGGTGGGGGGGCTGGGGATGAGGAGTTTGGGGTGCAGGCAAGCCAGAGAGGAGTACTCCCCCCAGCCCTCTCCCCGCAGGCAGCAGCGAGTTCTGGGGGAGGGGTCCCCCACTTCCCCCTTGCACCACACTCACCTCACACCACTGTCACTGCACATGCTCCTGGGGCCCCTTCCCTCCCCTATGGTGGGTGGGAGGGGGGGGCGCGACTGCCATCACATGTGTACCTCCTCCCCTGCTGCTGCCCCTCACTGTAGGCTCAGTGGGGGTGGGGCTGCCCCTTGTCCAGCATGGGACAGGAGCAGTGACTGCAGGCAGGGGGCCCTCTTGTGCTGCTGAGGGTCCCTCCAGAAATGCAGAGCAGCATACTTCATTACCGCTTCCTTGTGACTGAAGGATTTTTTGTGTGATGTACAGCCACGCAATGCATGTCTCCAATCTTGAAATCTGGACTAAATAAATGTTGGTTCAGCCTTTGTAGAAAATATTAAGATCTCTTTTCAGAACAGTTTTTGCCAACTGAGAAAAAACCTCTATTTAATTCGCTGTTGTTCTCCAACCACTTAAATCTTGATAGCCAAGATTGCTGAAAACTCCTTTTCTTATTTTGTACATTTGCAGCATCTTTCTTTTGTATAACTTCAGGTTGAAAGCCAGGTGTCGAACTCAGGCCATCACTTGATGAATGATCCTTTTCTTCTTTTTCTCTGGGTAACTTTATTAAGCATTTATCCATTGTTGATTATTACTGGTCCTACAAATCAAGAATTTGTTGCTGGGATAAAATGAAACTACAACACGTCGGTGCCACAAGATTACAAGGGCCAATTAAAAGTGGAAAGTCAGAAGCAGCACTCGCCTGATTCAATATATTATATTTTGTTGTATTTGTATACAACCAATTATATACTTTAAAGGGTGTAAAATAATCAAGTATTGTGCTAAACACGATCATATCCCAAAGTGACCGTCAAATTTAAGTTGTGTATTTTTCCCTTTCAGGTGAGGGCTCTGGGATGGGGCTGGGGCTGGGGATGAGGGCTTCACAGTGTAGGAGGGGGCCTAGGGCTGATGCTGTGAGTTGGGCTGCTGGGGGCCTGGGCTCTGGGGTTGGGCGGGGCATGAGCTTGGGGTGCACACAGGCTGCCTTGGGACTAGGGCCAGAGAGGACTCCCCCAACCCTCTCCCCGCCGGCAGCAGCGAGCTCTGAGGCCCCCCTTCCAGCACACTCACTCTGTACCACTGTCACTGCACATGCTCCTGGGGCCCCTCTCAGGCCCACGAAGCCCCCTCACCTCCCCTATGGTGGGTGGGGACTGCCATCCTATGTGGCTTCCTTCCTCCCCTGCTGCAGCCCCTCACCGTAGCCTCAGGGGGAATGGGGCTGCCCCTTGCGCAGCGTGGGGCAGCAGCGGTGACTGCGGGCTGGTGGGAGGATCACAGGGTCAGACACTCACCCAAGCCCCAACAGGTGCTCGGGTGAGGGAGGGCCGCTCCAGGTGTCTCCCGGCGGATGCCGGAGGAGGGGAGGGCTGCCAATGTGTGTGTGTCTGTGTCGTTTCCCCCCCCCCCCGCGGTGGAGCAACTGCGGCAGCAGCCAGCTGCCTCAGCCTGCCCGGGGCACGGCTCTTGTGCTGTCGTAGCCTCAGGCGGCAGCGCAGACAAGCGAGGGACGCTCAGGGGCGGGCGCTCTGGGGCCGGGGGGATGGCGTGCGGGGGCGTGGCAGGCGGGGGACCAGGGGAGGCTCCCCCTTTCCTACCTCCCAGCCTGCCAGCCCCTCCCTGAGCCCGAGAGGCCCAGGCTGCCCGGCTGGGGGCTCTCTTGTCCCTTTAACAGGGCAGGGCTGGCTGGGGGAGGGGCGCATGCGCGGGGAGCGTCTCTCTGGCTCCGGGCGGGGAGCCGAGCCGAGCCGGCAGCGGCGCTTGCTGTAGCCCCCGGGCGTGTGATCCCAGCGCGCGCGGCTCGGGCAGCCGGCGCGGAGCTGCCGCCTGGGCTCCCGGCGCGGTATCAGCGGTCCGGGGACAGCCTCGGCCAGCAGCCAGTCCGGCCGGGGACAGGGGCTTTGTTACTCCGCGTGTAGCAGCCGCCTCAGCCCACTGCCCAGCCGGTTCTCCTCGCAGCGGCAGCTAGGGGCCGCCGCGCCTTTGTCTCCTGTCCCCCGGTCTCTGCAGCCTCCTGCCCGGCAAGCTCACCAAGAGCCACCCCCAGGACTGCGCTTCCTCCGCTCTCCGGCTCCAGCAGCTGGCAGCACCTTCCTCTTCCCACGGCAGGGGGGCTGGAGCCCTGGCCGCCTGCCCCTGGTGCATTGTGACCCCTCCTGAGCTCAGCAGCCCCCACCCGGAGCAGGCAGGAGCTTGGACTGAAAGCGGAGATGGCATTTGAGGCGGGTATCCTGAACTGCCCCTGGGCCGGCTCGCTCCTGGAACCAACAAAGCCTAGCGGTCTGATTGCCTTATTTTGTGGCCATTTGCTTTTGTTTGGGTCTAATGGTCTTATTGTCTAGCGTAGCTGCAGTTTCTCCGGTGTCTGGCAGGCAGCGTCTCTAGCGGGTTAAGCTTTGAGGTGCTATGAGCCTGTGGACAGTCAGCTGTGCTCTGCCCCTGCCCCGTAGCTCTGCCTGGGTGTAATACTTCATCGATCTGCTGCTACTGATTGTAACCGGCAATCTCCTGCTAGGTCAGTGGAGCCTGTCTTTTTTTATTTTTGGTGGCCTGATCTGAATATATAGCCCCTGCCGTTTTATAACTGGACCTTTTCATTGTTCTGCGCCTGTCCAGTTCTGCCTGCTTGATCAAGGGTGACTTCTTTTTTTTTTTTTTTTTTTAAGCCTAATCTAAGGTACGTCTCCAGGCCACTTCGCTTGCTTCACCGGGGCCCTGCCTTGACTCTTCCTTCTGGTTTGACCTGAGGAAACAACCTCCTGTTGGGTAAAATATACCTTGATATTGCACTGTTCTTCTGTGAATGAGCCACACCCTTTTTTCCTTAAAGGGCCTCTGCACTCAGCCTGCCATATGCTGCTCTTTCTCTGGCAGGCTGAGGGGGGTGGTGGGCATAGTGTTGTAAGCCACCAATTTCCGAAGTGCAGACTGGGATGCCGGGGGGGAAAACGGGGGGTAGTGGCGCTGCTGCCACCAAGCGCTGTGAGACCAGCAAAGAGGCAACTCAGAGAGAGGAGGAGCAGGAAGATGATGGTGATGAAGATCTGCGAGACGGTGGAGTTCCTTTCTTTGTGAACCGAGGAGGGCTACCCATTGATGAGCCCACTTGGGAGAGAATGTGGAGACACGTGGCCAAGATCCACCCTGAGGGAGAAATGGTGGCTCAAAGGATTCGAGGAGCCACAGACCTACCCAAGGTGAGAAGTCCTGAAAGAACTGATATAATAAATCAAATGACATGGCTTTAGACAGTCCACTCAGAGAATGGTAGAGAAGCTGGGATTGTGTTATATAACATGGAAATTCAGATCAATAATCCTGAAGTGGGGGTTTCACTCAACAGAAACAGTCATAAGGGTGTAAAGTATCGGGATTCCATATCAGAGGGAGAGTCTCTGTCCTGTGCTGTTTGGGATTTGGGCTTTGATTTAATAGAATTTTCCCATTTAATTGCTCTGATACTGCTTGTGTTGATGCAAAAAGCCACATGTCCAGTAACCTTAGCCAAATGGGGAAAAGCCAGGATTCTGAGACAAAGTACAGAATTGGGATTTAGCTTCTGAGGCAGCCTGCCTGGCCTGAAAGAGGGGGTGACAGTGCTCCAGCTGTATTCTGGAGCGTTGTGTTTTGATCTGGACACTTTGTTCTTAAAAGATTGTAATTAAAAATAATCCAGAAGGGCAACCTGCTAAAAGTACAAGGCGATGGGACCTGTTTGGTGGATAAGGAAACTTAATATGTGCATCTTGGAGAAAAGGAGAGTAAAGCTGGGATTTATGACTGGTCAAATACTTGAGATGGGGAAAGCTGGAGGAGTGGGAGTTGAGTAATTATAACCAGGAACAAGCTATAGGCTATAAAAGGAAATACTTACGTTGGTCATGAGGGACAGTCTTCCCCACAACAAGGGGAATTTTTGCACTGGAATGGTGCCTGCCTATGAAGGTGGCTCTGACAGAGGAGTTAAAAGCAAATTAGAGAGCACTTGTAGAATTTGTTGCCAACAAGGAATCAGACTAGATGATCTCACAGCTTTTCTGGCCCTACTGCTGAGAATCCTATGAAAAGGGGAACCCAAGATCATGCAACTTAATCTTGATGCTGTATTGAGTCCTTTGCGTGTGAGCCTCGTGAGTCTTTGTAGATGTTGCCATTTTTGTATATGCATGGCTTCTGGTGGTAATTCTAAGGTATATTTAGATCCTCAGATTGAAAGTGCTTTGCAAATATTCACTGTCTCATAACTGTCCTTTGAAATAGATATCTTTATTCCCATTTTTACAAATAGAGACAACTGAGTCAAAGAAGATTAAGTGACTTGCCTAGGCTCTCACAGCAAGTCTGTGGCAGAGCCAGTAAGGAAACATTGGAATTCAGGGGTCCAGTCCCCTGTATGAATCATGAGACTTACTCCAACCCTTGTTTCTCTTCTGTGTCTCTTCAGCACTGAGGGTGTTTCTTTGGCCAAAACTTAGCCGAGCATCTATTTTTGGTACCTGCAGCACCATTGTGTAGTAGCCCGGTTTGTGCACTGTATTCAGTGAGGCTGGTGCAGAACACATTCTGCCATCTGGGCTCACTGCTCATCAGTCTCAGCAGCTTACAGGGAATACAGAGGAGTGAATGTGGTAGGAAGGATTGGGGCAAGGGAATGAGAAGAGCCCACCCTTGCCTGTACCGATGTTTCCGTGTCTCTGAGCACCATTTGTATTGAAATACACAGAAGCGGGTCTATTTTCTTTCTTTGAAGAACTGATGCAACGGTTTAGAATCCTGGCAATAATATATTCCAGGGGGAAATATATTTTGTAAGTGTACTCTGCAGGGCTGGCTCCTGTGAGAGGCTGATGCCCATTAGGTTCCTGAGGCTAAATGGGCCTTGGGTGGGATGCAGGAGTTGCTATAGCAGGATCAGCCCAGTGGCCTAGCTAATCTAAAATCCTGTTTTGGATGAGGGTCAGTACAAGATGCTTAGGGGTTGAATTGGGGAAAACAGTGGTACTGTTCCAAGCTCTGCCAACAAAATAAGCTCCACCCCTTGAGACACTACAATGAGATGTAATCACAGGGCATGTCTACACTTACCTCCGGAGCAATCGATCCAGCAGGAGTCGATTTATCGTGGCTGGTGAAGATGCGATAAATCGACCGCCGAGTGCTCTCCCATCGACTCCGGTACTCCACCAGAGCAAGAGGCACAGGTGGAGTCGACAGAGGAGCATCAGCAGTCGACTTACTGCAGTGAAGACACTGCGGTAAGTAGATCTAAGTACTTTGACTTCAGCTACGTTATTCACATAGCTGAAGTTGTGTAACTTAGATCGATATCCCCTCCCCCCAGTTTAGACCAGGCTACGGTATGTTGTACAGGTGTTAAAAACATCATCATGTGATCTTCTTGGGCTTATCTCTCCCACAGTGGCATGCTGAGCTCTGCTAGGCTTGGCTCCCTGATTGGGGGAGGGAGGAAATGGTGTTACACTGTCAAATAAATGAGCTGTGACTCACCGTAGGCTGTGTAGATTTTCATAATGATTTCCCTTTTCCTATCCTACATGACTTGATCAGTAGTGACCTAGTTAACAGTGACACTTACCCAATGTTGATCATTTATCTGAGTTAACTCCTCAGTGAGATGAAAAGAGCAGTTCTCTCTCATAGCTCTTGTTTCGGGCTCTTAGCAGACTCAGGCAGGCATCTCTGCCTGAGAGACTTTATTTTTAAAAAAAAAAAAAAAAGCTGAGATTCTAGATCACAAGATGGCAGTGGCAGGATGCCATACTGTTCCTGTATGAATCCTGTAGATACATGGATGAAAGTATAGGGGGCACGAAAGGAATAACCTGCCAATGGAAAGTTTCCTAATAACCCCTGTCAGTTTGCATTTAGTTTGAGCCCTGAAGCAGGCATAAATTTCTGGGAAGCTTGTGAGTCCTTAATTTGTAGATAATCTCATTATCCATATAAATCTCTAGATGTTGGCTCCTGTTGAGCCTCCCCTGCCATGTTAACATGAACTTTTCCGCCGCCGGCCAGCATTATGACCCAATGCAAAATACAGAGAGCAGAGTTGTCTCCTGCTCACCGGTGCTGCACATCCTGGTAAGTAGTCTGGCAATGTCTCTAGGAGGTTTCCCAAACTCTTCCTTCATGCTGCTGTTTCCCAGGGTTCTGCCAGACTGTCACCTGCATGCCAGGGCCCTTTTTGATCCTAGTTGGAGAGCTGAACTGGTAGAGAAATGGAAAGAGAAATGAACTAGTCCAGTTTTGCTATCCCAAGTGGAGTGAAATGAAGTAGTAGTGAAAAGGGTTTGTGACAGCATTTTTGTGACTTTTCTGGTGACAGGGCCCTCTTCAAGCCAGGAAGCAAGACTCCTCTAGCTGCAGTAGATCAATGGCATTTCCCACAAAGTAACCTTAGTAATTTGCTTGCAGTTTGATTTGAGGTGAGCATTAGGTGATCTTAGCTGAGCATTGTGATGTGGACGTCCCAACAGGGCACCATCTCTGTGACCTTGCTTCTCCTAGCCCTTCCATTGTAGGCAGTGTTGAGAGAAGTGCTGAAACATCTCTTACTTCCCTTAGAAGTCTATTGTTTATCCCATTTGGGCTGCTGTGGCAGTGTGAGTGAGGCCTCAGAACTCATTAGTTAATAACGCTTTCATAGCTCTCTATCTGTATATCTCAAAGTGCTTTATGAAGGAAATGAAGTATAATTATCCCCATTTTACAGATGGGGGAATTAATGAGTGTTGACACAGTGACCTTTTGGTGGCAACAGGCAGAGGAGATGCATAGGGTTTGTGAGGATCCCCAGGGTCACATATATGCATAATAGTTCACCTATGGGTGGCGTGTGAGGTCTCTGAGAGCCAAGAGCCCACCAGTCACCATAAAATGTATGTACGGATAATATTTAACAGGTTATGTATCTGTACTGAAAATGATGTTCTTGAGGACTTGAAAGTAAGGCAGGTCACCAGGAGGTGACATACCCTCCTGTCTGAAAGGAACACATCCAAGGCAACAGATGTTTATCTCTGAGTCTGGTCATATGCGTATTGTCCACGTCACGATGGAGGTCTATTGCACGCTGAGCCAGATGCCGGTAGAAAGTTTGCAAGATCTACAAGAAAAAACAAAACTGCATGGTGGGTGTCCTGTTTATGAATGAAGACAAAGGATGGGACCTGTATATCTTGGGAAGCAAAGTAACACACTGGATCCTTCATGTAGGAGACAAGCTCACAGTGTTGGTCTCCTCGAAGAGGGATCACAGCCAAACAGCTGTAAAAGGCTGTTTGGACTTTGGGTGAGCATTGCTCAACAAGACATAAGTATCTCGTTTTAAGTCGATGTTCTAGAATGTGTTATGATTTAATTTTATATGTAACCATTTGTTTCCAATACTTGCTATTACTTAAATATCTATGCTGGTGTGTAAATAAATTTATCTAAATGCTGTGTGTTAAGCAGAGCAGTGATCTGAGGTGGAACTGGTAAGCTGTGATGTACTGTTTCTCTAGAGCCAACAAATCTGTGCATACTGCGAGTGCCCAATAGATCGGGGCTGGACACTCCAGGGAGATGTTTGTGGGGTGCTGGGATTGGAGCGTGCCTATTGCTAACCTGTAGTGGGTGGGCTACATAGGCCTAAAGCAGAGTGCTTGTGTTGCCCCTGGCCAGTGGTGTTGGGGAGCCGACCCGCAGCAGGTGCAGACAAAGCTTTCTCACGCTAATGGCAGTGCTAGTGAGGTGTCTCACAACCCTGGGTGCCACCAAGAAGCATCACGTTACAGCACAGAGCTGAAGTGACTTGCCCAAGGTGTTCACAGCAGGTCAGAGGCAGAGCTAGGACAAGGGCCCAGATCTCTTGACTTCCAGTGCACTTTCCTACCTGTTGGATTGTCCTGCGTTTTAGCATATCCTTCCTACCTTCCCTCACTCTGTAGGGCAGGACAGCCTTTCAGAATAACCCACTGGCTGTCCAGTTATTCCAGAGGAAATGGGCATTAGTGCCACTCCATTCAGTTGCCCTCAGCTTCCAAAGGCTGACCTGATGATAGCACTGTTGGCAGTTGCTGGCCTTGCTGCTTTTGGTAGAAGAGGTGGTGGTGTCTGTCTGCAGAGCTGATGTTGTATCAGTGGCTCCATGGGTGGTATGGCACGAAGGCAGGGAGCACATCTGTCTATGCATTTGTAAAGGTTTTGCATTCTAAATGGCAGAGATATAAAGGTGGAAACCAGCAGATTTGCAGCTGGTCAGTGATGGCGGTGGGGACCCCCACAAAAGAAGCTGGATTTTTAACATATATGAATGACAGGCTGTGATGTGCATGCTTGAGCTTTAGTTATGGGGTGGGGGGGTTAATGTATCCATCTGCTGTCTGAATAACATCAGTACTCCGTTGGCGGCGGCAGCAGCAGCATCTGAGCAACTAGAGCTCTACTACTACGATGACAGGACCACATAAGTACTTTGAGAGAGACAGCTTGTTTTTTTTAAGTTACATTATCAAACGCTTCCTCCCTGAGGGAGGAGGAGCTCTGTTTGTGCGCCTCTTCCAGCTGGTTTGCTTTCATTCTGCTTGGCTCATTTTAAGCTTGGAAATCTCAGATCTTCACCAGGCTCCCTTCCGAAGATGGGGTTGGGACTCAGCTGTGTCAGGCAGGAGTTCAGTGCAATATCCAAGGGTTTACAAGTCTGGGAGTGCTGGGATGTAACCCAGCCATACAAGTAAGGGAAGACAAGAATGGGTAAGGCAGCCAGCCTTGCAGGGGCATGCTTTCCAGTGACTGGAGCAGCAGGCCCCAGGAAACCTGTGTTGCTATCCCACCAAATTGCTGGTGACTATGGGTAAGGTAATCCACCTCTACGTTCCCTTCTGTGTTTAAAATAAATTTCCATCCACCTCCTTGAGGACTGTGAAGATACCTGTTTGTACTCTTTGAAACCTGTGGATGGAGGATGCTGGAGAAGGCCAAAGTGTTATCACTCCTCCATTCAGCACAGGGATGAGAGGGACAGATTCCTTATCTCTTCTCTCACTTCTCCCCACCTTTTCCCCAGGCAAACATACTGGAGACCTGCTGCCAAGGAAACCATAGCCCAGTCTGGGCTTCATGGCCAGATCTGAGAGCCAGAGCACAGCTTAATTACTTAAGGTGCCGCTTCTACATTAACTAGTCTCCCAGTGAAATGGTTTCCATTACACTGTCTCAGGGTATTGCGTGTTCCCCAGAGGGAAAGGGGATCTGACAGCGAGGAGTGGTTTCCAGCAGCAGAGAGGAGTAACTAAAAGGAACCAGTAATTTGTGCTGGTAATGGTGTATCTAACTGGAACCCAGGGAGTTAATTTTAGCTGTTTGTCTCTGCACAAAGGTCACCCACTGAAGAAATGAATTAAGGCTAAATGCTGAGCCTGCCCTGGTTTTACCACTTTCATTGGTTCTGCTTGGGAGTAATTTCCTGTGACTCAGTATGTTAACTCCTAGCTTCTAAACCAATTTAGCGTGCATTAGTTTCAGAGACTGCCGAATTCCCTGCATCATTCTCTAGAGTCTAGCGGGCTTCCTGTTCCCCTGGGGATAAGAGCTCAAACTGTTGGGGATCTTGTGTATCTCCTTCCCCTCCCTTGCAGTGCTTCCTGCTGAGAGAGGTTGGAATAGAAGGAGCTCTCGTATCTGCACATTCCCAGCAAGGGACTGCAGTGAGGTATTTGCTTACAAAGGTTACTGGAGACAACAGCTGGCACACTTTGTTGGTTCTTATGTCTAGTCACAGCTTGTCTCCCTGAGAGGTGCTGGGAAATGGGCACCGGTCACAAAATGCATCTTCATCAAACTGACTTATGGGGAAAATCTTAAGACAAGACAATAAGAAAGATCAAAATACACAAGAGAAAATCAAGACCTAGAACTTCTTACAGCTGCCTGCTGTTGTGTAAATACTGCTGTGCTTGGAGTTGAACAAAACAGCCTCTCCCCTGAGACGCTTACAGCCTAAATAGGCAGACACCACCAAATACAATGAAAGGACCAGAGGGAGGGCTCTGTCTCCAATTAATGTTGTTATACAAGGGGTGGGTGACCGCATGTTCCCTAAGGATGGAACTGACCAAACCACACTGAGAGTTGGGGCTTTGGTGTTGGATCCACGCGCAGAAGGCATTAACTTTCCTCAGTAGGCTTGGGGAAGTTGTGCCATGAAATTCTCTCTATCATAGTCGCACCAAATCTGTTTTTCCATTCTTTCATTGACCGAGTGTCTCCTTGGCCCTTTTTGTGAGTCCAGCCCTGTCTTTTTGTTTTGGCTGGGCAGACAGGACCCTTCTCCTTTCTTAGGATAACTCTTAGCAGCTGTCAAAGCTGCAGATGTTGACTTCCGAGTAAACAGAGAGGATGGTTTGGATGGACTATAGAGGCCAAGACTGCAGATTCAAGGCAATAGTCTGGGTTATATCCACAGTTGTGTAATTGAAAGTCATAGAAGTTTGAGATGGAAAAACCCTATTGCCTTTTCCAGTCCATCTCCCTGCCAATACAAATTCATTCCCAATTCGTTTCTAGTTTTCACAGTGCCAACAGGTGGGGCTTTCACCCCTTCCCTTGTGAGTCTGTTCCATGCCCTGATATTTCTTGCTGTTGTAGAATTCTTACTGAACTTGGCTACATTTTCATTCCATGCCTCCATCTTAGACCCATGTACCGTCCTGAGCTCCTCTTCCTCCTTTGTATTTATGCTCTTTAGATGTTTGTAGACTATTTTGTGTTCCTCCTTGGTTGTCACTTAACTAAATTCTACAGACTTTCTTTTAGTTTTTCATTTTAAAAAACAGTCTTTCCATCTCCCCGATAACTTTGTGTCACTCTTCTCTGAATCCCCTCCAGTTTGTCAACTTGAGGCTAGAAGAATGAAGTGACTGTCCACTCAAAGAATATGACTGTCCACTCAAAGAATATCTCGGGTGGACAGCAAAAAGGGATTAGCTCCTTGGGTTACAGAGGAATGCAATTCCTATGGTGATGTGCCAGTGCATTCAGCAAAGGGCCTAGCAGGTTCAGGCGACGTCTGCTCTCTGACTCACTCTGCTTTCCCCCTGTTCAGATTCCCACACCGAGTGTGCCTGCGCTCCAGCCGTCCACCCCCATCCCTGAGCGTCTGGAAGCCATACAGCGCTACATCAAGGAGCTTCAGTATCCTTTACTATTATCACAGACACCAAGGAATGATGATCCAGGAAGGGGAAGCAAGGAGACCTTCCAGTAGCTGACCATAAGAGAACAGCTGACTCTGCTTCAGCCAGAAGGGGAAATGAAACTTGTTCCCTAAAAGCAGGAAACTGAAGTTGTGACAGTGAGTGGTTTTGCTGTTTTATTCTAATCCTGCCCAATTGTGTCTCCTGTGGTTAACCCCTTTGTCCCAGCAGCATGTGTGTCAGCAGGGCCAAGCTAATGTGTGGTAGGTTCTCCTTCAGCCAGACACCTTGAATTCAAGTGCTTGTTCCTTTTAAAACATCCTAATTGAAGGTCCTTGTAGTTGCTGCGCTTGCCTAGCCCTGCAGGGAGGGCCTGGGACAGATTAAAACCTGGGATTAGAAAATGCTAATCTCCCCTGCCAAGATTGGGTGTGCTGGTGATGGGGAACTTGAGCTTCATGCTGAGTCATTTTACAGGGTGCTTTCTTCTCTGTAGGTGGCCAGAACATGATGGTCCCTCCTGCTTTTGAGAGTCAGGTGGATGACCAACTCCCAGCCATTTATAGCTGCCTGTATGTTCATGGCCTGGGAACAGGACTCCTACATATCCTCGTGCTCTGTGTGCTGGATTGGAGTGTGGATGAGGGCATGTGCAACACAAGTGCATTTTTATCTTGCTGGTGGGATATGGAGCTGACTCTAGGTGGGAATGGAGTCTGCCAGCACCTTTTTTGCTAATCCTGGGGTTGTTTTGGGGACAGATCCCAGCCAGCATGAAAGCAAGGTAGTTTTGGCATCATTTAGACTGGTCATGATCCCCTGCAGGCAGCAGCAAAAGAGGACTCATTTCAACCCTATTCGGGTCTGGGAGCCTGTGCTGCTGGAGAGGAGGCTGACCAGAAAATGTGCTGTCAGCAGAAATAGGGAGGGAAATAGATTGCCACTCTGTTTCCTTCCTCCCCCAGGCCAAAGAATGCAAGTGGGAGGAATAGCCAAATGGAAACGCTTACTTTCTATTTGCTGGTATTTTGCTTGCTGGATCCTGAGATCCCTGTGAGAATGGTAACTGATACCTTGATAGTACAAAGAGCTTCATCCAGGCAGATTGCTGTATGTGGGCAACTCTGTCTTCTCAGCTCTCTCTTCCAGTCTGCATGGCCCCTTAACCTTTTTTCTCCAGGTACAATCATACTGGGACGCAGTTCTTTGAAATTAAGAAGAGCAGACCTCTGACCGGGTAAGTGCTGTCAGCCTTTCTCACGCTCCTGCCTTCCTGTTTGGGGAACTTGCCACCTCTGCTACTCCTGTACTGAGTCTGGCCGAGAGTACAGGCTGGACTCTGGGGATTTTGTTCACTGTCACAGTTCTGCCCTTCCTGAGGGGGTTGGACTCTGCTCAGGGTGCAGCTGGTCAGAGCCATAATTTAGCCTTATTCAAGCATGAGGGCCGGATTTGTTGCCAAGGGTCAGTAAACTTATCTGTTACTCAGAGGTGCCCAGTCTCTGAGCACATCTAATTTATAATCTAGATCAGGGGTCTCAAACTCAAATGACTACAAGGGCCACAGGAAGACTAGTGCATTGGCCCTAAGGTCGCATCACTGACACCCCCACCTCGCTGCCCCAGGCCCCGCCTCTTCCCACCCTTTCCCTGCCCCCATTCCAACCCCTTCCCTGAAGTCCCCACCCCAACTCCACCTCCTCCCTGCGCCCCCAGGGGGTGCAGGGGGCTCAGGGCAGGGAGTTGGGGTGCAGCAGGGGGCTCAGGGCAGGGAGTTGGGGTGCGGGCTCCGGCCCAGCGCCGCTTACCTAGAGCAGCTCCAGGGTGGCAGCAGCGTGCACCGGGGCCAGGTCAGGCTCCCTGCCTGCTTGCCCTGGCCCCGCTCCAGGAAGCAGCCAGAACCAGGTCCCTGTGTGTGTGTGGGGGGGGGGGGGCAGAGGGCTCCGTGTTGCTCTCTTTCAGGTACCTCCCCTGAAGCTCCCATTGGCTGCTGTTACCCGTTTCCGGCCAATGGGAGCTGCGGTTGGTGGCTCTCGGAAGTGAGAGCAATGCATGGAGTCCTCTGCTGCCCTCCCCCGCCCCAGGACTGCAGGGACATGGTTCTGCGTGCTACGCGGGGGGCGATCCCATGGTCGGATTCGGCCCACAGGCTGTAATTTGCCTACCCCTGGCCTGGAGGTAGACAGAGGGGCGGGGGTGGGGGCACAGGGAGCTTGGTGGGCCGCACGAAAGAACCCCACAGGCCGTATGCAGTTCACGGGCCACATGTTTGAGACCCCTGATCTAGATCATGGGCTTCTGGGAGATTTTGTGTAAAGTAAAACAAAGTCCTGCCTTAAACAAGCTCTCCAAAGGCCAAATGTCGCTGCAATTCTAGCTGTGCAGAATGTGGACTTGCTAGACCCTTTTTCAGTCACCAAAAAAAACCCAAAACTTTATAAAGAACAAAGAAATGTTTGAGGAAGGAAGGAGGAGGTGGTGGTGGACACCCCCAGACTGCTGTGCATTGTAAACCCTCAGGCATGTACACAGGGTGGAGGCAATCATCTTCGTGCACCTGGGTTCCACATGTACAGTTAGGGACCTCTTAGTCTGCTAACCAAACCATTGTGCCAACATTAATACTGCTGGCCCAAGCCATCAGGTATGGGTGGATATTTGGGCATTCCAAACATCTTATGATGTAGCCAGGGCAGAATCTGCTGCAGGCCCCTTCCCTGCCCTCAGATGTGGGAAAGCAAGTGTCTCTGGAACTTGGCCTTCTGCCTGAGGTGTCTCATCTTGGTCGGATGGGTAGAAATCCAGAGGGACTGCATTGAGATGAAAGGGAATTACTCCAGACTTGCTGAGAGTAGTGTCTGGCATAGAGGGTAGATCCTGTTTGGCTCAGTGAGGGGAAACTCCACAGCAGCAGTATTGGAGGGGAATGCCAAAATACTGAGTTTGAATTTTATTTATTCCTAAAGGGTTTTCTCCTTTCCCATCTGCCTTAACAGCCTTCCTCTCTCCTTGCAACCTGCCCTGCATATATGCTGCCCAGCGACTGAATTCACCAGCCCCACCCAATGCAAACCCTTTAATTCTCCTCCTCTGTCTCTCCTGCTTGTGCTGTCTAACAGGCTGATGGACCTGGCCAAAGAAATGACCAAAGAGGCCCTGCCAATCAAATGCCTGGAAGCTGTGATCCTGGGAATGTATCCTTTCCTCTTAGAAACATGCATGTGTGCCCATCCTAATGTGTTCTCCCCCTGTAGAACCCTGCAAATCTGGGGATATCCACTTTATATCAGACTCAGATATCTGTGGATCATGGATTGGATGCGGATACAAACTTTGTATCCGCTCAGAGCTCTACTCCCCCTGCTCTCTTATGCCCCTCTTATGCTGCTGGAGCATTGCAAGGGTCCAAGCAGAGAACCCGAGTAGTGGAGTTAATTCTTCAGGGTCACTTCTCTCCCCCGCTTTAGGATTGAGTGTTTATTCCTTTTGGACATAACTGGGGGAGGGAGAGGCGAAGGATGTGGGGATTAAACAGGAAGGAAATAGCTTCAAGTCAGAAACACTGTTGAATAGTGGGGATGTTTCACTCACTATGTCACCTTGCACTTTCTCCACATTGCAGGCAGATATGGAAGGGAACCTGTCAGACTCTCCCTTGCATAATCCTTGCTTTTTATATGCAGACTTGAGCTAGCACCTCCGTGTACACACGTCCTGGGAAACACATCTCCTCTGGGACCTGCCAGGCTGAGTCCAACTGGGGCCACGTTTATTTATTTATTGGAGTTCCCTCAGTGATGGGGAAGCATTTGAAAGCTAGGTTAATTGGTCTTTGCGTTTTGGAAAGTTAGTTGTCTTCAAATGCAGTGCTTTTATGAGATGCCAGTCTGGGGATCTCGATGGCTCAGAAGAATGGGTTACATTTTACCTGTAGGGCACCAGGTCCAATCCCTCCTAGGCTGATAGTGATGGTCAATTTAACTAACTTGCCTAGTTGCCTCTGTGTGAAATGAGATGGTGGCTCTGGTCCTCCCAGCTCCTAGCAGGACAGGTGTACACACTACAAAACTGCCATTATAACTGTCTTCCCTTTGTGGGCAGCCTTGTTGGAGAAGGTGAGGACTGAGCATCCCTCTGATCCCAGGACAGGGTAGACTTGTCTTGTGCGGGGCTGGAGCTATACCTGCTCTGGGGATTTGGTCTCCAGGGCTGTCAATCAAGTACTTGTCTTCAGCAGTGAATCTGCTTTCCAGTCTAGGCTGACTGAGATGTTCTGGGGGATGGGGAGGAAGAGTCTTACTCCTTTTCTTGGCATCACCAGTTGTTTCCTGAATGGGGTGATGTTGCCAGTTACCTCACCAACAACATGCCCACACTGGAGCGTTTCCCCATCAGCTTCAAAACTCACTTCTCAGGGAACTACTTCCGCCACATTGTGCTGGGGGTGAACTTTGGGGGTCGCTATGGGGCACTGGGCATCAGCCGGCGTGAGGAGCTCATGTACAAGGCGCCCACCTTCCGCACACTGAGCGAGCTGATCTTCAACTACGAGGAGGCATACCACCGCTGCTGGCACGTCCTCAAAAAGGTGAAGCTGGGCCATTGTGTGTCCCATGACCCACACAGTGTGGAGCAGATTGAGTGGAAGCACTCCATTCTGGATGTGGAAAAGCTGGGCCGTGAGGACTTCCGCAAGGAGCTTGAGAGACATGCCCGGGACATGAGGCTAAAGGTGAGAAGCTGGGAGGTGCTGGGGAGACTAGCCTGCTGCTCTTGAAGGCTGCAGGTGTGAACTTTGTACTTGGTGCCAAAGCCTTGGAGTTTAAATGGATCCTGGTGCTAGTATGCTGGGAGGTACAGATCCTGCTGGGTTGGGGTGCGGATGGGGGAAGGCAGGGAGGTGGAGGGAGGGGGTAAGGATTCTCCTCTCCTTTTCTGCAGACCCTGGCTCCAGTGGGGTGCAGACCCCTCTCCACTTGGCAGGTGTAGATGCTGTGTATGAGGGTATCTTGGGCAAGACCTGGGAATATGAATCCTGTGCCTTCAGGTATGCCTGCTGGTCACTGGACAGATGAACCAAGATACATACTTGCTCAGAAGTTTTGCGTGCATGGGTGTGCTTGACACTCTCTAAAGGTGGGGTACAGTACAGAAGAGCTACATAATGCTCACCACTGCCTTTTCTTTTTTTCCTTTTGATTTTCTTCATCTCACTGTCACCCCTTCCCAGACAATGGAGTACCTTGGGCTTTATGTTCTCCAGCCACTGCTAGCCCTGGCTTCTCTCTTATCCTGTTGTTTTCCTTCTGCAGATTGGCAAAGGAACAGGGCCACCATCTCCCACAAAGGATAGGAAGAAAGATGTGTCCTCCCCACAGCGGGGCCAGTCCAGTCCACAGCGCCGCAACAGCCGTGGGGAGAGGCGGTAAGTGGGGTTGGTGGATGGCTTGGTTGGAGGATCTTTCTTAGCCGTGCTATAGGATTTCCCCTGCATCCCCTCGCACCCTTGGATAAAGTAGATTTCTGAGAACTCTCTTGGCACGGTCCATAACTGTGGAGATGTCTCTCAGCTGCATTGGTGGGTCTCTCCCTTTCAGCTCTGTCACTGCTTTCTCCAATGTGAGTTGCTGCCTTCCCACTTTCAAACTATAGCTGGAATTAGGGGCGGGCTGCAGGTAGAGGAAGGTCACCCCATCTAATGCCTAATGTGTGATGGGTCACACATGACCCCCAAAAGAGACGTCTGAACCTCCATCATTGGTCAGTGAGAACTGGTGTGCCTTTGAGGCTGCTTTCAGGCCTACTCCAAGTCTATCTTTCCAGGAAGGTATCTCAAGTGGAGCTGCTGGGCTTCCCACTCTGTATTCCATCCTCTTATGGGAGTTAGCAGGGTGAAGAAGAGCTGCCACCCCTGCTACTCTAGCTGTATGGGTTCTGGTAACAGGGATGAAACTCCTCTTCTCATGTTGGCACCTCTCAATCCGACAGGTTACCCTGTCAGAGGAGAAATTGAGAATGCCTCTGAATATCTACTTCCCTCTTTCTTCGCAGGCTGTCTGGTGAGAAGAAGCCTGCCGAATCCAAAGCCATGCCAGACCTCAATGGGTATCAAATCCGGGTATGAAGAGAGGCACACCTGGTGTGCCTGGCTCCATCAACTCTTCACTGGCCACACTTGAGACCAGGATCCACTTGTAGCAAGCTCAACATGGGGAAGGGGAGGGCTGATCTTCCAAGGTACTTCTATCAAGCCTATCCCAGAGCTGTATCCTGGGGATCAGACAAGTCACCTGCCTGTCTTCTCGGGAAGAGCACTTTTTAATTCAACAAAACACGTTTTTAAGAGAACAGAACTGCCAGTTGATGGGAAGGTGCTGCAGGGTGCTTGGGAAGGCTCCTGTTGTGACGTGGTGAGGGGTTGAGCGAGTGAGGCCAAGCAGAGCTCATGCTTTGCATGGAATCCTTTGGGCTGACAAAGACGACAGATGGGGCATTTTATCCACAGTGCCTCTTCTATGCTGAAGGTCTTAAGCCAGCACAAAGCCCCTGGGCTTGAAGGAGGGGAAGGTCTTGGAATGGAAAGGCCCCTGCCTCTGGTAGAGGAAGGATTTTTGGTTTTGTAACTTCTGTGTATTTTGCTACTGTCGCTCTTGTTGGGGAGGGAGGGAGTGAAATGCACAATCACCTTCCCCATCCCCTGTGCCTGCAGGGAAGAAGAATAAGCCCTGAAATAATTAATACTTGCCTCACTAATGAAAATGCAACCTGTCAGTGGAGTTGAGGGCCTCATATGCAGTGAATCCACCACTCTAACATTCTGTCTGGTCTGCAGGGTATCCCACTATGGCTCATTGACTCTATGGGGGATGAGTATGTGTCTCCTTTCCTGTGAGGTGCTGTGGATGCTTCCCTTCATGGCAGGCTGTTCAGGAAATGCCCAGGCTGTCGTAATGTGGAAACAGGCAGCTGGACAGCTCCATCTGTGGGGATGGGTGCTTAGCTAGTACGATAGTTGGAAACTCTGCCTCCCCTACTTCCGTCTCAGTGGCGGTCACTGGAAGCTGTGGGAAAAGCTTTGGCCACTGAGATGCAAACTCCACCAGGAAGCAAGTGACTCTGCACATGAGTAGCCTTCACAAGCATCTTTCTCTTCAGAAAGGAAAGAACTTCAATTTTTCCTTGCTGGGTTGTAGCGTTAGTCTCGTGGCCGGGGGCGGGGGCCTTCCTTCCTTCCCATCCTGGCCACTTGCTTAACCCTGGAATGTTCAAGTCACTACCACATCCAATTCCCACTTTAGCTCTTGTGTGTATGAAGCTACTATTCTGACGCCTTGCGCTTCCCCATTATAGAGTCTGGCTCCATCTCACCCTTTGAGGAAGGGCTACTTTTCCTGGATGCTCAGAGCCACAGTGGAATTTTGGGAACCAGCCTTAAAACAGAAGGGTACAAGCTCCTGTGCAGTGCTCTGCTCGAGGGGTCAGTGTGCTGGCAAATCCTTAAGCAAAATAAGATGGTGTTTTGTGGTCATGTTGCCCTGTTCGCCCCCACTCCTTGTCCACATCCGCAGCTGGCCAATGCCTGCTGGAGTGCCTCTAAAAGTGAGGCCTACTGCCTCTAGGAACACGCAGGGCACCGCCACAGCAAATCCCATGTGGTACCCCTGAGGCTGTTTTCAGGAAATAAATGCTATTGCAGGTAGAGTGGGGAAATGTTTCTCAGATTGAAATCAGGTGGCGTGCTGCACTGTTGCTGTAGGGTAATAACTCCCAACCCTTTCATGCATTGGTCTACCACTCCATGCTTCCTTCCCTTCATCTGTAGAGGTTTTGGAGCAACCCATGCGCAGGCTGGGCAAGAGGGGCAGAAATAGATGAGTTGTGCTGCCATACCGAGTCCAACCCAGAGGCTCATGCCCAAGTTAAACCTAGGGTAACAGCCCAATCAAGATTGAAATGTCTTTGGGGAATCACTGTTCCAGGGTATCCCATTTCTCCAAACTGTTCAGTCTGGCCCATTTTGATTGCAGAGGTCTGTCTGTCCTAGGAGCAGGGAGCATAGCTGTGTGCCTGTCCTCCTCCGGTTTGTTTGACACAGTGTACTTAACACTAATTATGTTAATGATTACCATTCTCCAGCAAGCCCTCCACCTGACTAAAGCCTTGGCAGCCCACAAATTTCCATTCAAAGGAGAGGCACAGCTAAGCGGTCCACATGCTGCATGTCAGAACTGAGGAGCATTGGTAGATATGCGTGTGGGGCCCAAAACTTGGCATACCAGGGGTACTGCAGCTCATGGCTGAGTTGATTCAGAGAGGGAGGTGGGAAGCAAGGGGTGAGTGGGTCAAGCCTGAGGCATGTTGACATAGATAGGGGCTCCAGCTCTTGCTATTTTGTGTGGAGCGTGGCAGGTGCTTAACTCATTTCCTCAAGAAATGACTTGGGGCCTAAGCTGTCTGACTCCAGGCGGCTGGTTCCCATTTGTGGATCACTAAGCAGAGCTGGGTACCGATCTCTGAGAGAGATGAGGCTAACCACACACCTCTAGCTTAAGTGGCTCCCAGTCTAGCATGTTGGCTCTTGTGGATTGCATTCTGGGGCCCCTGTTTCTCCCCATTCATTGTATAGGAGCCTAGGTGCCTAACTTGGCTTTGTATATCACAGTGGTATACCTGTGGTTTTTTTTTTTTTTTTTTTTTTAAGATGCCTAAAAGTTAGGCACTGTGACACTCAGAGTAGGAAGTCCCTTCATGGATCCCACCGTTGATTCTCTGTAGATGGATAGGAGAAGAATGAGAGAATTGTGCAGTTCAGAAGTCGGCTGCATGCTAATGATTCTTTTGCAGAAGCAGGGCAAGGGCAAGCTCAGTGACACTAAAAGATCATCAGTACAGAATGGATGAAACAAAATGTTTTGTGCCACCCTGTAATTCAAGCTATGTGGCTTGTTCATGTAGATTGTAACTGAAGCCAGTAGTACAGAAAATTAAGTATACATTTTAAAAAATGAGTGGCAGGTAGATATTTTTCAAGGTCTCTTACTCCTCATCCTTCAGTGTATTCACCAGCTGGTGCCAGACATGAATATCTTCTTTCAAGGTGTAGCTGCATAATTAAATGCATTAGGAGTGTTTAAATTCTTCTGAAGCATCTGTTGCTGTCCACTTTTCAACACTGATAAAAGAGTAGATGTTGCATTGGTTTGTTCCTATGCAGATCCACAGTGCATATGGTCTAAATACTTTGACAGCTGTGCTCCTTGTATCTCAGCAGTAATTGCCCCCCTTCCTTATTCCTCTAGTAAGTGATAGGTGCCATCAGCAGCTTCCTGCATGTGGCAATAGCTGCTATTCTAAGGCTGGGCCATTGGGGACAAACCCCCAGGCTGAACGGAAAAATATCCTATACCAGTTACAAAAATCCCGTGTTAAATTCCGCATCCCTAGTCCTCTCCTGGGAACAGTGATAGGAGAAGAGAGAGAATACTATCTACACACGTTCCCCAAAGGACTGTTCTGCAAGACAGAGGTGCCTTTACTGGGTGCAGCAGTGTACCAGTTTGTGGTGGTCTCCTGGATGGTCCAAGCCACAAAAGCTGGAATCATACCGCAGATCATAGAGGATCACAGCAGGAGTCAAGCCCCTCCCTTGGAAAAGGGTGAGTGAACTCATCAGACTGTGGCTGTATCTTCCATAAGCCAGTTCAGGGGAGTAACCCTAGTTGAGGACTACTTGAGGCCTCTTGCACTGTTGTTCTGGTGCTGCCTGCGTGTTGGATTTGGAACCACCACTTCTTAGTGCTCCTATATCTCTACTCTGGGGTAGTGCCAGGAGATTGGTAATGACCTGATCATTTTTTTCCCCTCCACTTTTTTGCTCTTGCTCTTTCTCTCCACTCTGTAATGGTGAATATAGCAAGACAGGAGCCCCTCTATTCGACATTGGTGAGGCCTCATCTGGAGTACTGTGTCCAGTTTTGGGCCCCACACTACAAGAAGGATGTGGATAAATTGGAGAGAGTCCAGCGAAGGGCAACAAAAATGATTAGGGGTCTGGAACACATGAGTTATGAGGAGAGGCTGAGGGAGCTGGGATTGTTTAGCCTGCAGAAGAGAAGAATGAGGGGGGATTTGATAGCTGCTTTCAACTGCCTGAAAGGGGGTTCCAAAGAGGATGGCTCTAGACTGTTCTCAGTGGTAGCAGATGACAGAACGAGGAGTAATGGTCTCAAGTTGCAGTGGGGGAGGTTTAGATTGGATATTAGGAAAAGCTTTTTCACTAAGAGGGTGGTGAAACACTGGAATGCGTTACCTAGGGAGGTGGTAGAATCTCCTTCCTTAGAGGTTTTTAAGGTCAGGCTTGACAAAGCCCTGGCTGGGATGATTTAACTGGGAATTGGTCCTGCTTCGAGCAGGGGGTTGGACTAGATGACCTTCTGGGGTCCCTTCCAACCCTGATATTCTATGATTCTAGTTCAGAATAAATCCCACCTTCCCTGCCACCTCAGAGTCCACTGTAGCCGAGAGCAGGACATAGTTTTTGCCCCAGGAAGCAATCGGTGCAGTCCAGCCATGAGAAACCCTGGGCATATAGCTTAATAACCTTAATTCACCAGTTAAGTAGTAATGCTGTCTTTCTCTCCTCTGCCCATGCTGCTCGCCCTGGTCTGTTTCCTCCAGCCCCAAGAGTAGTAGCCTGACTGTTAGACCGAAAGATGGGACTGTGTTGTAGCTTAAGGGTAATGTTGGTCCTTTCACTGTATCCCAAACCTCTGTAAGAAAGTGAGTTTAAAGTTGTTAGGAATGAATGAAGGCAATGGGCCTGGATCAATCGATAATCCGTAATGTTTCCAGAGTAAAACATGAACCAAGTGGAGTCCAGGGCAGAGGATTTTGTCTAGTATTAGCTTGGAGTCCTTTTAATAAGGTCTTATAAAAACATCACCAGTGATGTTTTTATTATGTGTTTAAATCCCACTTTTTCAGGCTCTCCTCCTTATATACTCCCTAGTCCATGCAAGTCTGAAACCTGGGGGGAGGAAGTTCCTCCATACATGAGCCAGACCATACCTGCATTGTATATGTCAGGTGTGACCAAATTGTGGCTTGTGGCGCCCTCCATGCCCCCACCCCCGTTCTCCACCTACTAGCCTTCTGCCCTGTGAGGAGGATGGTCTCAGGGCTTCAGCGCCGCAGGAGGCGCTGTCCTGTAGGGCAGGGTGTGCTTGTCTTGCGGCTCTTGAACTTCTGAAGATTATCTTATGTGGCTTGGAGGGTTAGTAAGTTTGGCCATCCCGCTATATGTGGTTAACCAGGGCTACAGAGAGAGGGCCTTTACTGAATTCCTGTTAGCAAGACCATTTTCAAATATGAATGCTGGGTTCAAAACACAGTTCTTCCTAACACTTCTGTGGTGCTGGTGTAGACACGGCCTCTTGTTCCACACCCTTCAGCAATTTAATTCTACAACTGTCTTAAAATAAATGAGGCAATGAACAGAGACCAAGGGGTTCTGCCCTGGGGTACTCTGGCATGGTACAAATATACCAGGCTGACTGCTGAAAAGTGGGCTCAGGTCTCCATCAGCATCTGTGCAATAGTCTAGGCTTGTGAGACTCCAGTGTTGCTCTGAAACCACTCTGCAGTGGCTTACTGCATTTCATGGTATGCCACGGCTGGGGGATGTGTAATGCTTTGTATTTAGGTGTGATTATCCTACCCCTTGTGACACCCAGTTCATATGTACTGCACATCTCTCTAGTGTACTCTATACCTTGACAGTTACAGTAGATGACTCCAGAGCCTTGTCTTGGATGTAGTTTGTGTGTAGCAGGAGAGGTAAGTTATTTGCCCAGTAGCAGAAAAAGGAGTTATTTGCTTTGTTGCTGTTACCAGAGCTGCTTTATGTGAAGAATGTTGCCATGGTATTGCAGCTAAAACCCTGAACCAGACTCTGACCCCATAAGTCACCTGAAAGGCTGGTTCACATGTGGTGTGGTATAAACTGGAACATGAGTGTCCCTAAAATAGTCACTTACAAAGGCCAAGAAACCACAGCCTAGAAAAGAATCCTACATTGCTAAGGGGCAGAAGTCTGGACTAGATAGGAAGTAGTAGGCCTGATCCAACTGCAGAGGCTCTTGCTACTGAGTTGGGCCAGTTGTTTTAGGCATTATTCCTTGTGATTGACCTATCCAGGGAACGGCTGTAAACAGGGCATGCTCTTTTTTCCCTCTGTGTCTTACTTGTGAGTCTGCTTCGTTGAAACAGCACCATGTGCTCTAATAGTCTTGCACTGCTGCCCTGTCTCTAATGTATAGAATCTGCATAGGAGGGAGCCTGTGATCCAACTCAGGTCAGCAGTTCTTGGTTGGCTCCTGCTCTGCCAAACCAAGGTGGAGTCTGTCTTTATGCAGCTGAGCTGTGCTCCTCGGGGGGTTCAGAATGCTTGCTGGTCTCCTTAACAGATGTTTGTTCATATCACAACCACTCTTCCTCAGGGTGGTGCCTAGACACTGTCTGCTCAGGAGAAAACCAGCTTAGGCCAAGAAGGCAACTGAATCTCCTATACCTCTGCAGAGTAGTGTTTTCCCTCCAGCCTCCAGGTCAGGGCTGAGATGGTGCTAGTGGGACTTGCATAGTCCCTTCCATGCACATCAGTATTTATCCTGTTTCTGTTACTCTATGGTGCAACAGAACCATTTACATTTTATCACTGATACTGCACAGAACTATCCAAGAAATGAAGGACTTTCTTTATGGACTGCTTCAAGTGTGTCTTTTTTTGTAATTAACCAGTTGTGGGTCTGTTTTTCTATAGTCAACACAGAACCTGTATCTAGATTTAGTTTTAACTGCACTTGTATCATATCAGTATTTCCTCCTCCTTTCACATGAGAAAATAAAAGTTCCTATCTGCACATCTCTTGCCTTGTGCAGAGAACAAAATGAAAACTGTCTCTGTTTTCATTGTTGCTGATCAGTAAAACCAGAGCCCAGGTGCTATTTAAACTTCTAGTCTGGCTATATGGTGAGGCTAGCTCTCTGGAAAGGATGTGTGTCCTATTCAAACACCAAAAAAGAATAAATACAGGTGGCTTTCACAGGGAAGGGGAAAGAACCCTACACCGTCCCCCTCATTCATCTGGGTTGGTCAATATGCCCATGCTAGCCAAAACCCACTCAGCGAGCAGGAATGAAATACATGGCGTCCTAGCACCAGAGGAAAGGAGCTGAGCAGCCAGGCTCTCTTCATACTGCTAATTAAGCTGAGGCAAACTTCAAGATGATGTGGTGGTCCAAAGGGTGCCATGGCCTGGAAGCAGAACCAACCTTCGATAGATGATCCAGCCAGCTGTCCTCACAAGAGCAGCAGGTACTGACCAAACCTGGAGTTCTAACTTACAGTCCAAGCTCTCTGAAGCATATGTCCTCACCAGTGTGGTCTCTCTTGTGATTCTTTCTTAAAGCACAGAGTAGCCTAATAAGGAAAGGCAGCTGCAAAACTGTCCTTTCCCCATGAGGGAGGATCCAACTTTTAGTATGTCATATACAAAGTGTATTGCTTAACTGTAGAGAGCTGAATAACAGCAGAACATGAGCACATGGAGATGTTGATAAGGCTTACAGCAGGCACCTGAGTGAAAGTGGGGGAGATACCACATGGGGTCCTCCTGCTTTCTGTCCAGCAGGACATGATGGAACTTAGAATGATCCCTCTGAGCTGAAATAAGCTCTGTATCAATGAGGAAGCCTTACTACACTATTAAAAAGTAATGGTAACAAGCCCCCTGCCAAGCAATGGCTGTCCCCTTCATCCCTAAGGTGACCTCACCATAAACCTTCAGCCCATGCTTCTAGCATAAGAGGGGTTTATAGCTAGAGCCCTGCATGGGTACAAAATTTGTAACCGCAGCTGATCTGCAAACATGGTCCACAAATATCTACATCCGTGGATTTGCAGGGCTGTTTATAGCAAACTCACTGGCAAACATCACTTGCCTCAGCTGCTGAATGGAACTACTACAGCATTCCCCTCCCCTATCACACCTAAATTCAAGATTCACAAGATCTTAGGAGAAAAGACCTTTCAAAAGCAGAGCTGGGAGTTGCTGTAAATGTCATCTACAGTGCCATTTCAACTCATGCTGCCAATACCATTCCTCTTTGTGGATACCCCCCCCCCCCATCTCTTTGCAGCTGCTACTAATGATACTAGGCCCTGGTCTACACTAGGACTTTAGGTCGAATTTAGCAGCGTTAAATTGATGTAAACCTGCACCCGTCCACACGATGAAGCCCTTTATTTCGACTTAAAGGGCTCTTAAAATCGATTTCCTTACTCCACCCCTGACAAGTGGATTAGCGCTTAAATTGGCCTTGCCGGCTCGAATTTGGGGTACTGTGGACACAATTCGATGGTATTGGCCTCCGGGAGCTATCCCAGAGTGCTCCATTGTGACCGCTCTGGACAGCACTCTCAACTCAGATGCACTGGCCAGGTAGACAGGAAAAGAACAGCGAACTTTTGAATCTCATTTCCTGTTTGGCCAGCGTGGCAAGCTGCAGGTGGCCATGCAGAGCTCATCAGCCGAGGTGACCATGACGGAGTCCCAGAATCGCAAAAGAGCTCCAGCATGGACCGAACGGGAGGTACGGGATCTGATCGCTGTTTGGGGAGAGGAATCCATGCTATCAGAACTCCGTTCCAGTTTTCGAAATGCCAAAACCTTTGTCAAAATCTCCCAGGGCATGAAGGACAGAGGCCATAACAGGGACCTGAAGCAGTGCCGCGTGAAACTTAAGGAGCTGAGGGGCAAGCCTACCAGAAAACCAGAGAGGCGAATGGCCGCTCCGGGTCAGAGCCCCAAACATGCCGCTTCTATGATGAGCTGCATGCCATTTTAGGGGGTTCAGCCACCACTACCCCAGCCGTGTTATTTGACTCCTTCAATGGAGATGGAGGCAACACGGAAGCAGGTTTTGGGGACGAAGAAGACGATGATGAGGTTGTAGATAGCTCACAGCAAGCAAGCGGGGGCAAAACAGCCAGGAACTGTTTCTCACCCTGGACCTGGAGCCAGTACCCCCTGAACTCACCCAAGGCTGCTTCCTGGACCCGGCAGGCGGAGAAGGGACTTCCGGTGAGTGTACCTTTTAAAATACTATACATGGTTTAAAAGCAAGCATGTGAAAGGATTACTTTGCCCTGGCATTCGCAGCACTACTGGATGTACTCTCAAAGCCTTTGCAAAAGGTTTCTGGGGAGGGCAGCCTTATTGCGTCCTTCATGGTAGGACACTTTACCACTCCAGGCCAGTAACACGTACTTGGGAATCATTGTACAACAAAGTATTGCAGTGTATGTTGGCTGGCGTTCAAACAACATCCGTTCTTTATCTCTCTGTGTTATCCTCAGGAGAGTAAGATATAATTCATGGTCACCTGGTTGAAATAGAGTGCTTTTCTTCAGGGGACACTCAGAGGAGCCCATTCCTGCTGGGCTGTTTGCCTGTGGCTAAACAGAAATGTTCCCCGCTGTTAGCCACAGGGAGGGGGGAAGGTTGAGGGGATAGCCACACGGTGGGGGGAGGCAAAATGCGACCTTGTAACGAAAGCACATGTGCTATGTATGTAATGTTAACAGCAAGTTTCAGAGGAACAGCCGTGTTAGTCTATATTCGCAAAAAGAAAAGGAGTACTTGTGGCACCTTAGAGACTAACCAATTTATTTGAGCATAAGCTTTCGTGAGCTACAGCTCACTTCATCGGATGCATACTGTGGAAACTGCAGAAGACATTATATACACAGAGACCATGAAACAATACCTCCTCCCACCCCACTGTCCTGCTGGTAATAGCTTATCTAAAGTGATCACTCTCCTTGCATCCGATGAAGTGGGCTGTAGCTCACGAAAGCTCATGCTCAAATAAATTGGTTAGTCTCTAAGGTGCCACAGGTACTCCTTTTCTTTTTGCAAATACAGACTAACATGGCTGTTACTCTGAAACCTCTCCTTGATTATCATACACATTGTAAGTTGGGCCATTTCCAGCACAAATCCAGGTTTTCTCACCTCCCCCCCACTTTTTTTTTTTCCCAAAAACACACACACACACTCTTTGTGTGTGTGTGTGAGAGAACCTGGATTTGTGCTGGAAATGGCCCACCTTGATTATCATACACATTGTAAAGAGAGTGGTCACTTTGGATGGGCTACTACCAGCAGGAGAGTGGGGTGGGAGGAGGTATTGTTTCATGGTCTCTGTGTATATAATGTCTTCTGCAGTTTCCACAGTATGCATCCGATGAAGTGAGCTGTAGCTCACAAAAGTTTATGCTCAAATAAATTGATTAGTCTAAGTACCATAAGTACTCCTTTTCTTTTTGTTAACAGCAAGGTTTACGCTGAAAGAGTGTAGCCACTGTTTTATAAAATTTGTCTTTTTAAATACTGCTGTCCCTTTTTTTTTCTCCACCAGCTGCATGTGTTTAATGATCACAGGATCTTCTCCTTCCCAGAGGCTAGTGAAGGTTAGAAAGAAAAAAAAACACACTCGAGATGAAATGTTCTCCGAGCTCATGCTATCCTCCCGCACTGACAGAGCACAGACGAATGTGTGGAGGCAAATAATGTCAGAGTGCAGGAAAGCACAAAATCACCAGGAGGCTGAAGAGAATAAGTGGTGGGCTGAAGCTCAAATGTGGCGGCAGCGTGATGAGAGGAGGCAGGATTCAATGCTGAGGCTGCTGCAGGACCAAACCAGTATGCTCCAGTGTATGGTTGAGCTGCAGCAAAGGCAGCTGGAGCACAGACTGCCACTGCTGCCCCTCTGTAACCAACCGCCCTCCTCCCCAAGTTCCATAGCCTCCACACCCAGATGCCCAAGAACACGGTGGGGGGGCCACCGGCCAACCAGCCACTCCGCCACAGAGCATTGCCCCAAAAAAAGAAGGCTGGCATTCAATAAATTTTGAAGTTGTAAACTTTTAAAGTGCTGTGTGGCATTTTCCTTCCCTCCTCCACCACCCCTCCTGGGCTACCTTGGTAGTCATCCCCTTATTTGTGTGATGAATGAATAAAGAATGCATGAATGTGAAGCAACAATGACTTTATTGCCTCTGCAAGCGGTGATCTAAGGGAGGAGGGGAGGGTTGTTAGCTTACACGGAAGTAGAGTGAACAAAGGGGCGGGGGGGGGGGTTCATCAAGGAGAAACAAACAGAACTTTCACACCATAGCCTGGCCGGTCATGAAACTGGTTTTCAAAGCTTCTCTGATGTGTACCGCGCCCTCCTGTGCTCTTCTAACTGCCCTGGTGTCTGGCTGTGCGTTACCAGCAGCCAGGCGATTTGCCTCAACCTCCCACCCCGCCATAAACGTCTTCCCCTTACTCTCACAGAGATTGTGGAGCACACAGCAAGCAGTAATAACAGTGGGAATATTGGTTTCGCTGCGGTCTAAGCGAGTCAGTAAACTGCGCCAGCGCGCCTTTAAACGTCCAAATGCACATTCTACCACCATTCTGCACTTGTTCAGCCTGTCGTTGAACAGCTCCTGACTACTGTCCAGGCTGCCTGTGTACGGCTTCATGAGCCATGGCATTAAGGGGTAGGCTGGGTCCCCAAGGATACATATAGGCATTTCAACATCCCCAACAGTTATTTTCTAGTCTGGGAATAAAGTCCCTTCCTGCAGCTTTTGAAACAGACCAGAGTTCCTGAAGATGTGAGCGTCATGTACCTTTCCCGGCCATCCCACGTTGATGTTGGTGAAACGTCCCTTGTGATCCACCAGAGCTTGCAGCACTATTGAAAAGTACCCCTTGCGGTTTATGTACTCGCTGGCTTGGTGCTCCGGTGCCAAGATAGGGATATGGGTTCCATCTATGGCCCCACCACAGTTAGGGAATCCCATTGCAGCAAAGCCATCCACTATGACCTGCACATTTCCCAGGGTCACTACCCTTGATAGCAGCAGATCTTTGATTGGGTAGGCTACTTGCATCACAGCAGCCCCAACAGTGGATTTGCCCACTCCAAATTGATTCCCAACTGACCGGTACCTGTCTGGCGTTGCAAGCTTCCACAGGGCTATCGCCACTCGCTTCTCAACTGTGAGGGCTGCTCTCATCTTGGTATTCATGTGCTTCAGGGCAGGGGAAAGCAAGTCACAAAGTTCCATGAAAGTGCCCTTACACATGTGAAAGTTTCGCAGCCACTGGGAATCGTCCCAGACCCGCAACACTATGCGGTCCCACCAGTCTGTGCTTGTTTCCCGAGCCCAGAATCGGTGTTACACAGCATGAACCTGCCCCATTAGCACCATGATGCACAAGTTGGCAGGGCCCATGCTTTCAGAGAAATCTGTGTCCATGTCCTGATCACTCATGTGACCGCACTGACGTCACCTCCTCGCCCGGTATCGCTTTGCCAGGTTCTGGTGCTGCATATACTGCTGGATAATGCATGTGGTGTTGAATGTGCTCCTAATTGCCAAAGTGAGCTGAGCAGCCTCCATGCTTGCCTTGGTATGGCGTCCGCACAGAAAAAAGGCGCGGAACGATTGTCTGCTGTTGCTCTGAAGGAGGGAGGGGCGACTGATGACATGGCTTACAGGGTTGGCTTCAGGGAGCTAAAATCAACAAAGGGGATGGCTTTACATCAAGGAGTATTTCAGGCAGGACTTCACAGAGGGTTCTAATAAGAAATGGTGCACCTAAGTTATTGTTCTTATTGGAACAAGGAGGTTAGTCTGGCCTCTGATTGATACATGGCTAGATTTACCTCGCTGCACCTTCCCTGTGAGTGACTGAAGTGTGACCTAGAGGAATGAGTCCCCTAGATAGGGGAGGAGGCAAATGAGTACAAAACAAATCTGGTCTATTTCTTGTTTTGATCCACTCCATCTATCTTTTACATCTTTGGCTGGCAGCAGATGGTGCAGAAGGACTGCATGCCATCCACATCTCATGACTGCTCGGCCGAAGATGGTGCAATAGGACTGCTAGCAATCCGTATCGCCTGTCTGCTCACCATAAGACGGTTCAATAGGACTGACTGCAGGACTAAAGAGAATGACCTGGTCAAGTCACTCCAAATTTAGTCCCTGCGCCCATGTCTGCCCAGACGCTCCCAGCCGATGTGGCCAGGAGCACCTCGGACACGACAATGACAGCTACCAGTCATATTACACCGTCTGCTGCCACAAGGCAAGGGGTTGCTGCTACTGTGTAGCAATGCCGTACCACGTCTGCCAGCACCCAGGAGACATAGGGTGACGGTTACCTGAGCGGGCTCCATGCTTGCCATGGTATAGCGTCTGCACAGGTAACTCAGGAAAAAAGGCGCGAAACGATCGTCTGCCCTTGCTTTCACGGAGGGAGGGAGGGAGGGAACGGGGGCCTGACGATATGTACTCAGAACCACCCGCAACAATGTTTTAGCCCCATCAGGCATTGGGATCTCAACCCAGAATTTCAATGGGCAGCGGAGACTGCGGGAACTGTGGGATAGCTACCCACAGTGCAATGCTCTGGAAGTCGACTCTAGCCTCGGTACTATGGAAGCACTCCGCCGAGTTAATGCACTTAATGCACTTAGAGCATTTTCTGTGGGGACACACACACTCGAATATATAAAACCGATTTCTAAAAAACCGACTTCTATAAATTCGACCTTATTCCGTAGTGTAGACATACCCTTGAACATCAGTTAATCCTTACACCCACCCATGCAGGATAGGTCAGGCTGAATGTTAGTTTACAGAGACAAAGAACAAGGAAGAAGCTTGCCCAAGGCTGTAACAGCTGGGATTAAAACATGGGTGGTCCCAGTCCACAAGATCATACTATCCCTCAACCACTGACCCCCTCCCAGCTCACAAGTTGCCACTACTGGTTCTTAGCTTCATTGCTGCAGTTCTAGGGTTCTCACTCAATTTCACACCAAAGTACTTGGCTATGAAGGAAAAGCCTTTTCTGTGTGGAGGAAAGGATCTACATAGTTCCAGGGTTCTCTTCCCATGTTACAGCAAAAGAAGAACTTCAGTCAGCCAAACTAAGAGCTGATAAAATCAAGACAAGCAGCATCTCACCTCAAATAAGCCAGTGGCTGCAAGCTGCCATCCCTCCCCCAGTAAGTAAAACATTAAAAGGGCACTGCCAAATCCAGTAAGCACAATCACCACTTCTGAACTTCTTTAAAATGGTTTCACCTTGGTAAGAAGTTTCCTGCACCAGATTCTAAGTAAGTTTAGAAAAATCATTGTTCTGTCCCCAAAATATATCTGCAGGACAGGGAGGTAGCTCTGAGTGATGGCTGCTCACTAAAACCCACAGTGCAAGCATCCACTGCTGGCTCTGCAGGAGATACTGAGGTCAGTTTTAACAACAGGTGAGGGTGTCCTTAACCAGTCACATATGCTGTAACGCAGCCAGGCTGGGTTCTGCTCTTGTTGTTCCTTTTCACGCTCCAGGAAAAAAAGAATTACTCAAAAGAAATTAACTTAGGCTTGAATAGAGACTGGGAGTGGCTAAGTCATTATGCAAGGTAACCTATTTCCCCTTGTTTTTTCCTCCCCCGCCACCCCCCCCAGACATTCTTGTTTAACCCTGGATTTGTGCTGGAAATGGCCCACCTTGATTATCATACACATTGTAAGGAAAGTGATCACTTTAGATAAGCTATTACCAGCAGGAGAGTGGGTTTGTGGGGGGTGGGGAGAAAACCTGGATTTTGTGCTGGAAATGGCCCAACTTGATTATCATACACATTGTAAGGAGAATGATCACTTTAGATAAGCTATTACCAGCAGGAGAGTGGGGTGGGGGGAGAGAAAACCTTTTGTAGTGGTAAACACCCATTTTTTCATGGTTTGTGTGTATAAAAAGGTCTTCTGTACTTTCCACAGTATGCATCCGATGAAGTGAGCTGTAGCTCACGACAGCTTATGCTCAAATAAACTGATTAGTCGTTAAGGTGCCATAAGTACTCCTTTTCTTTTTGTGAATATAGACTAACATGGCTGTTACTCTGAAACTTGTCAAAAGAAACAACTGATTTGATATATGTCCCATGCTACTTTTTATCTGCATTCTCTTCCCATGGAAACTCTTGTTTCTGTATGCCAAGTCAAAGGAATCCTTGCAGTCTCAATGTACGGTGATTGCTTTGGGAGACTAGACCATTACCCGGAGAGGGGACAGGTGGGGCTGCCTGGAGATGCAGCACTTGCCTGTTCTCTTAAGTTAAACTATTTATTTTTTGTAAAGGCCTTTCCCAGTGTAAAATTAGTCAGCCAAAGCAGAAGTCTAGAGGAAGATAGTCAAGGGGAACTGGGAATAATGTGTATTGCTCCACTGTGTCAGGAAAAGGCTATGGAGGAGAACATGCTCTTGCAGCAGTAAGTGTTTGTCATGGAAACTATTACCTGTCCTAATATTTTTACTGTGTGTGTGTGTGTGTCATTTCCTTTTGTTTCCAGAGTTCCTGGAAAAAAAGGAAAAAAACTATGCAGGGTAAGTGTTAATGTTGCATGGTTAAGCATTTGGGTCTGGATGTGCTTAAGCTAAGGCCATATATGCAACTGACCTGTGTGCTGTTGCAAACTACTCATGATGATACAATTTTTAATTATCTCCCCACATGCTATTCTCAAATAATACCATATTATGCTATTCCGCCCACCTACATCTATATATGTTATGTCTTCCAGTGACACTATATATAATTTAATATATGTTTTATACACATGCAGAATCCATACATCATTAAATTCAAGGTCACAGAAGATAAATTGTGTGGTATTATTTCAGAAATACTACAGGACTATGTCATTTTAAAAAAAACGCATGGAAACACATAGACATGAAAGTTAAGGCTGCACCTGCGGTTTCAGCTTTGGCCTATTCTGACTTGAGTGCTTAGTTGTGAAACCTTAGTTTTTTAAATTGAATTTCCTAGGTGTCCCCCCTGACCCTTATTATGGGGGTTGTGAAGAATAAAGGCTGACCAGAATCTGCTACAAATTGGCTGGGACCCCAGTAGAATACTGTCCCACTCCCACCTATGGTGCATACTCAGTGAGGCTCCCACAGATTCCTCTCCCCTGTGTACTGTGGGAGACTCCCTGTGAAAGTCAAACTCTGTAGGGGAGGGAACAGAAAATCTGCAGCTCCCTTGACGCTTTGCTATGCAGTGAATGAAACAGGGCTCAACCCACCTCATTCAACGTACAGGCCACCCTAATCTTCTTTCCAAGTGTTGAGTTGTTTTTTTTTTTTAAATCTCATTTGCACTGCAGCTGCACTAAGTGATACTTTCAGCAGAACACACAAAAGCATTTCTCAAGGAGGGCTACTTCTATGCCAAATTTTAAACTTTCTACCTTCAGCCATTTCAGCATTAGAGCTATACAAAGAAGGCTACACAACAACACACCTTTTTGTTTCAAAATTTTAAAAGTCCCCCTTGCGTTGTGGCATTTAGAAACATTTCAGTGTGACTGTAACTTTTTTATTTAAAAAAAATTAAGCTGCTTAAATAGTTGGTCAGATTCTTATATCAGTTACATTGGTTAAAATCTGGATTTCCAGAGTTCACTGAAGGCAATCGAATAACTCCAGATATATACTTGTGTAACCTACCTATTAGAATCTAAGCCAGTGTCTTTGAAGTTAAGCTCTGCAACATTAGCTTTTGCTGTGATTACCTAATACTTTGCACTTAGTTGCATTAGTTTTGAATGCCTTAAGTTTTCCAGTGGGTTTCTCCCAAAGTACCACCTTTCAGTTTTTCCCCTTCTGTGTGTTTCCAGCCTGTGAGTATGTTAGTGCAGAATGGGCCACTTTCAGTCTCAGACTCACCTAGAATCTTGAGCCAATCAGACATAGGAATAGAAGCTCACAGGCAAAGGGTTACATGGATTTGTTTGTTTGTAAATACAGAAACCCCCATTATAAAGAAGTTAAAATAAAAGTATTACAGCAATTAATGCAATTGTTAGAGCAACCAGCTATGGGAACTTTTTCACAATTACATTTACCCCACCAAACAATGCCACCCCAAAACCAATATAAGTTGGGGAAGAGGTACTTCATAAACATGCAACTATGGCCTAGACTAGTGGCTCTTGAGCATTTGTATTTGTGACCCCTTTCACACAGCATGCCTCTGAGTGTGACCCCCTTATAACTAAAAACACTTTTTAAAAACACTATTATAAATGCTGGAGGTGAAGTGGCGTTTGGGGATGGAGGCTTCCGGGGGTTGCAGCTGTCAGAGTCACAACCCTGTTTGAGAACCCCTGGCCTAGACTCACGAAGGGACTTAGATTGTTGCAACACTTAACTTTTAGGCACCTAGAAAATCACTGGAACAACAATGGGATCCACAAATCCTGAGTCAGGCACCCTATATAATGAATAAGGGAGTGACAGGCCCCTAAGCACAAAAGCCAGCAGGCTACTGCAAGGAGCTGCCTAAGTCAGCCAATGGGAGATACTGATGAGGTGGGTGTGTCCTAAGCACTTCCCCTCTCACAGAGTTTGGCACCTAAGTCTGGGCTACAGGGAGGCACCTAGCTCTGCCTGTGATCCACAGCTGGGAACCCCTCTCCTGAAGTAAGGCAGCTTAGGTGTGTAAGCTGTTTCTTGTGAGAATGAATTAAGTGGGTGTACCTAACTCTGCAAAAAACAGCTGGGAAGGGAGAGGAAAAGACTGGCAGCCCCAGGCTCCCTTGTAACTTTTAGCGCAGTGGTCAGGGTACTGACCTGGGATGTGGCAGATCCTGGTTCAGTTCCCACCTCTGTCTTATGAGAAGGGTTCTGAACAGAGATCTTCCACCTCTCAGGTAAGTGCCATGGCCTCTGGACTATGGAATGATTCTCACTCTCTCTGGCCCAATTCATATTCAATTAATGTGGACCGGCTTCAATCGGAGAGATTGGGTTATTCTGATGTGAGTCTCTCATAGTTCGGTGGTTAGGACACACTTCCTCAATGTGGATTGCACTGAGTTTAGGAGTGAGACAATGAGGCAGCAGTTCACATGCCCAGTGGCAAAAACAGGCACCTGGGGAACTTCTTCAAGGGAAGTTTAAGCACTGAGTATAGGCGGCAGCTGAGCGGGGGCATTATGGACTGCAGTGGTGCCTAAAGCTGGGACTCAGTTGCTTAAGTCCTTTTGTGGATCTGCCCCTACAATCCTTCTCCCCCACAACAGATTATTGGACAGCACGCACACAAATGGACAATAGAATCCTACTCACCCACTTCCCACATCAGGTAATAATGGGTCCAGTCACCCACAGGTAGGCAGACATCACTCCCAACAGAACGGGGTGAGAGGAAAAGGACATACAGATACAGTTTTCTCTTACCCCACTGTAAAGATAACATGGGAGCCCAATAACGAAGGTCTGGCTGAGCTGCTGAGACAACCTGAAGACTGGACATAGGCTCTAGGAACCAGCAATAGCCTCTACTTTCAGAAGAAAGGTTCGTGGGTTGAGCTCACTTTAGTTTTAGAAGCTGTTTTAGAACAGCCCAAATGAGCTATACCAGAATGGCATCAGGGGTTGGGGCTTTTCATGGCCTGTTTGATATGAATGTTTATACAGATTATCAGCTAGGCCCAACCTCTCCCCACTTCTTGCCATGACCTTTGCACAGCTAACACCCTACCCCACGCCTCTTCCACACAAAACCAACTGAAGTGTAACCAGGCCTTTAAGGGGAGGAGGGCTCTGCCCTCAGGAGCCCCAGCAGCCACTTTTACTGTGCATTTTTTCTGAAATTATAAAATTTTATTTTTCAAATAAGACGTTTAAGAAAGTAACACTTAAAACACTGAAACCTCTCTAATGCATTATTCAAAACAATCCAGTTATAGTTATTTCTAGCTTCTCACCCTCCTCCCCCCTGAAAACCTGGCTAAGACAGGGTCAGGAGATTTCTCAGCCCCAGAAGTGGAGTTTAAGGGTGGAGAACTCTTCTGCTAACATTCTTCTCATAACTCATTGATAAATACTGAGCACCAACAGTCAGGTCATGCTGAGGAATCTGACCTGCAGGGTCCAGCGCCAAAAAAAACCCCAAAAGAACTAGCAACAAGCCACTGCTGACCGGTGAATATATCATCAACACACATGACAATAAGGCTACAATGGGGATCCAAGGATTGAAGCTTTGGCTCCAAACCGATAGGGCTCCAAATCACAGACAGAGGAGCAGCTCCTATCAGCTCAACTCCCTTTACAGGATAGATCCAGAACGGGGCAATAATATGCACACAAAATAACATGTTTGGCCAGGAGGACATCTGATCTGTCCTGAGCCTTGACTACGACATTTTGCAGATCAGTGAAGTACCTACTAAAAGGAAGAGGAAGCAGCTATTCCTCCACTTCCTTTGGCACCCCTTCTCTCTTTAGCATTGTTCTGCAAGCAGCTATGACCACAGCCCTTCATCACTCTCACATTCTTATCAGTCCAGAGCTGTCCACTGTTCGCCCTGCATAAAACCCGTAGGAAAGGCCTTGGCAAATCCTTCTCTATCACTTATAAGTGCCAAGAGAGGTACTAGGAACTGTTCTGAGATGGTCAGGAAGGCAGTGAGGGAGCCTTTCCAAGGATCTCAGATTTCTGCTGTGGCAATTCCAGGGCTTTCTATGATGGTTCTGGAGAACCAGCACCTCCATATCACACTGATCTTTGTGTCAGACCTTATTGGTACAGTGGTCTCGTAACGATAGAAAGCTCCCTACAGAAAGTTATTGAAACTTAAAACTCTCACTCTGCTGATGTGTGTGCTGGGTGCAGACCTGGGTGAACCTGATGGAAACTCTCTTTAGGTATCCCTAGGTAAAGGCTACTTCAATTCCATTTCCGAGCCACCATCAAGCCCAGTCCTATCTTAAATTACAGATGACAGAAGAGATGCTTGGGTGAATCCAAGGGGAATGCATTCCATACACTGTTGCTAGGAAATTAAAAAGAATCACCATTTTAGTGTGGCAGATGATGATTGGGCGCACCCCCTGGTGTTGGCAGCAAGTAGCCAACTTAAAAAAAAAAGCCCACACGAGTCTCAAAACTGCACCTGATCTTTCCCAGATCACTGAGGAGCAGCACACAGAGACAAGTAAATAAGCGGAAGTCATGTTGATTCCTGCAGTGTAAGAACATCACAGCTAGAACATCTGCCAGAGGTTGCAGGACCAAATAGGTAAGGAAGTTAATTGCCCGGGTCCCTTTAAGAGAGAGTGCAGCCAAAGAATAACTGGGCATCAGCCAGTAATGGAGTCCCATGGAGTAGCAATGCAGGGAAGGGCTCAGTCTTCCTGGCCCCCTCATGCTCCGGTTACATTGAGGATGGAGGGAAATGGAAAGGAAGTTTCCTGCGAGCCAACTGAGGCTCTGAATGCACAATTTCTGTATTCTGCATTCAGTCCAGTTTGTCTGAGGGGACCCACACAATCCCCCTCTCTCAGGCACTGGAGATCTCCAAGCCAAAGCTAGCCAGCAGACAGAGGTGATCAGATGAGCAAAAGGGATTGGGTAAGCCATTTGCCAACCACAGGACATCTTCGGAGAGCAGGGAGAGGCGGCCAAGCAGCTTCAGGGCTCCATCTCGATATAGCCTGCGACCTGGCAAGGGAATGGGAAGGACATGTCAGATGGAGACTGGAGCTTCGTGCTCAAACTCTTTGCGCAGACACAGGGCAGCTAGCATATGCTGCACAGTCAGGGAAGCAAGGGTGTATCCACACAGACAGCCTATACAAAACAACATGTCCCTCTTCGTACCTGGCTACTATAGCAACAGGCACCCTAGACTGCTACTGATATATGGATTCATGCTCCGGCACACACAGGAGCTGCAACACACACTGCAGTCATCATGCAGCTGTTCACAAGGAAGCTCTTGCTAGTAGCACTCAAATTCCCAGAGGTGAATTTAGGCCTCTACTTGAAGAGACTTGCGTACCATTGGCTATGAAACTGACATGCCTTAACCGTGTCAGCCCAATGAGCCATAGGCTCGGGGGAAACAAAATTTGACTTGTGGAGACTCTTCGCACTCTATTCCCACCACACCCCCAAAGAGCCCATGCTGAGCTGATCTTGGCCTCAGAGGGCGTAGGAGCTGGATGCCGTTACTTGCAGAGCCTCATCAACTCAACTCCTTCAAACAGTGCGACTCTTGCAGGGGGTATCACCTGGAGGTGAAGTGGGGTGCCTCCTACAGATGGTCTATGCTGCTGCGAAGGATACAAACTACCAGGCCAGAGGAGCTAAGATCTCAATGCCAACTGCCTGTGGGGCTGTTCCAGGGCATATGCTAAGTGAACCCAAGGTGAAGTGTTGGGCAACAAGAAAGTAACATTCCATTCTACTTTGATTTCCCCTTAAAAACTATGATCAGGACAGGCAGAACTATTGTATCTCCTCAATAGCATAAAATAGAGATCTTGTCACCTCAGCTGGGGAGGACAGCATTTCCCCACAGTACATCACTCAGCCCCTACTGGGCACAGATCCCTGGAAACTGCATGCTGCCACACCCAGCGGCCCACTCCTGCCATGGTGGAGACACACTGCCCATCATGATGAGCTCCATTTTGCTGTACCACACATTTCCCTCCTAGCACGGTGGGGATAAGCTCTCAGGAGGCCCAATGTTGCCACACTCACCCTCTTTGTTCCCATTCTCAATGGGCTCTGCCGAGTAGAAGATATAATCAACTGTAGCTCCAAGGCCCATGGGCATGGTTGTGACCTCAGGGCGACCTCTCTGGGGCAAGAAGTGGCTATAGGCAGAGGTCAGATTAAGGCCATGCCGGATTACACCTGGAAACCTGAAGAGAAGAAACAGCTCCCCCATTCCCTCACATGGGAGAGGGGATGCAAAGCTCAGTGTTGGAATCTAAGCAAACTAAGCCACTTTCCTGATGCAGCTGTTTGTAGACTATTTCTACACATATATTTCAATATATTTTAATGCTTATATCAGTGAGAGACTATTAAGGCCATTTCTACTAAGACATTGAGTGGACAGGGGCTCCCTCACCACCAACATACAGTTCTGCCAACGCACTGCATTCCTGACCTGCAGCACCAACCCAGTGTTGGCATGGAAGCTCCCAGCTGCTCGTGCAGCCTGGTATGGATCTGGCCAGTTGTAGACAGATTTTTCTGATTCTTTCCCATCCCTAGTGTGTTCTTTTTCTAGCCTGGGAGAAGGGACCATGGAATTATTTAAACCTTGACATTAATTTAGCTTCCTGTGCCCATTTTCCAAGCACCCCACCATGGCCACTCCAAGGAGGGGTGCCACTTACTTCACATGGCCCAGCTGAAGTTTCCCTCCCTCCAGGTTACCTTGGGAAGAAGAGCTCTGGATCAGGATCATTCACCATGGTGAGATGCTTGGGCCAATGTGCAGGACGATCTAAAAAGGAGCAGAGAGATTCCAATTTGACATGCCACTGGTCCTGAAGCAGTTTGTTCATTTTGAGTTTGAAAGTTCCTTCCAGGACCCAAAAGGTCTCTTATTGCAGCGCCAAGAGTCCTCCTGACATCCTGGATAGGCACCCTCAGGAGTGACAGTACATGCTGGAAAGTCAGGACAAGGTTCCAAAGCTGAATGCAAACTGTCCTGGTCTCAGACAGGAGGCCTAGGTACAGTGGTGCTGAAAGAGTAACAAGTTGATACCAGGCCAAAAACAAAGCCTAACCCCTACCTCCCTCTCCCAAAAAGTCAGTGGGCCGATCCCAGGAGCAAATTAGTGCAACCAACTTATCCAGGTCAATCAGCTCCTGTGCATAGAGCTGTGGACATTACCTTTGCCCAGAGGCCGATCCCTGTGGCCCTGTACTACAACCTCTGCTGTCAGAGAAACTCAGACAGTCACAGAATTGGGATCATGAAATGGGTTGCCATCCCAGAGGAGGTAGGGAATGAGGAGAACAGAACCAAACATGTCAAAAGGCACAGAGATGAGGAGAGGTTCTGCTTCTTTAGTAGCAGATCTAATGCCAGCTTGTGGTCACCTGCTGATGCCACCCATATTAGCACTGAGGCAGCTCAGGTGCCACCATGAATTTCTTCCAGTGGATCTGGAAGCGCAGAAGGAATGGAAAAATACTTGCCCTTCTCCAAAACAAAGGGAGGACAGAAAATAGACTGAACCCTCTCTTCCATTCCTCTCCACACAGGGTGTAAAACACATAAATCAGCAAAGCAAGACTTGCTATGCAAGGAGCAGGTCAGTAGCTGAGAGCTGTTGCTGAGCCCTTATGGAATCCACTTGTGACCATGGGAATATGATGCAATGGTGGGCTCCCACCTTCCCCAGTCCTTGCCTTTTCTGGGACTCATCCAGCCAATCACAAGCCAAGACTGGTCTCCACTTGCTGGCTTCAAGTCTTGCCAAAGGCAGCTCATGCTGCAGAAAAGATGTTGAAGTAGGGAGAACTTGCTCCAGTACCTGGTTTAACATCTGTCACACCCTTCTGCAGAATCAGATGTGCAGGTCGTTCACAGGCAGCATCACAGAAACGGAACTGAAGCAGGAAGTCCCGGCTGTACTTGCGTCTGTCTGCAGCGCAGAGCCAGTTCAAAGGAAGGAAATAACCAAGAAGTCAGCTCTCTCTTTAGGTTTCCATGCCAAAAATACTACCAGAGTACATGAATGCCATGGTGATGGGCACAATATAAGAACCTGAATATAGAATAGACATGGTGATAGAAGAGGAAGAGACTGTCTAGACTGCATCCCAGCTACTTTAATACCTATTGCTGATGCACCCATCACTGTGGTATCTGGGGGTTCCACAAATTAAGAGCTTCCCCTTCCCAAAATATGGTCTACAGTGGCAAGATACCAGTCAATTTCTAAGCAAGGCATTTGGGGTGTTTATGACACAGATGTTGGAGGAAACCCCAGCCTGAAGGGGGGAAAAAGAGATATGGGTTCAGCCTGATTTCTAGGGAGTTTATATCCACCAAGCTTCCACCAAGAACACCCTGATCTGGGCTTCATATGCTGAAGCATCTCTGGAGAGCAGTGTGAGAGCCTAAATGGGCTCTACATCACATAGCGCTTTGAAGAAAAAGACAAGGCCCTTCAAGCGTATCCCAAATATGACTACGATATGTGAAGTACCGTGGGACATTCAGCTTCCAGCAAGTGCAGGAAGATGGCAGAAACCCAGGCTGAGATGAGTTGTGGGGCATACAAGTGATACAGTTCAAATCAGGTACTCTGAGAGGAGAGAATCCATGTCAAGGAGAGTGCCTGGTGCAGCACATTCCCCAGTTCTGCCCTGGAGTTGTGTCAATGTCCTGCCAAGAGTGGAGACTGCAGCTCAGTGAGAGGGAGCAAGACCCACACAATAATCATCTTCGTTGAGCCCACGTTCACACCACAGCTCACCTGATTTCTTTGGCTGGCAAAGAGTGACATATTGACAGTTGTCCGTTATACCCAGACAGCTGTGCCAGAGTGGGGTCTGCAGCTTCCGCTGGTGCAGCTGCTGGGAGAAGTCTTCCTGTCCAGAAACCTGCATCAAGGCAGCAGGGTAAAGGTGAGGGGAACAAAGCACCAGGAGGAAAATAGTTAAAGCGAGGCCAGCAACGTGCACAGCCCCCACACAGAACCAAACCCCAGCACTACTACTGCACAGAAGAAGGATCATGTAAATCTGTGGTGCAGCTACTAGCTGGGGAACATGTAGTAAAACGAAGGTGTGGGGAAAGAAAAAATAAATTCTGTTTGAAATATTTCATTCAAACCATTTTGAAAGCGAGGTTGGTACGTGTTTGGGTGCACAGCCACAGAGAGTACGTATAAAGGAGCAGTGCTTGCATGGGTGTATATTTCAGGAACAGAACTAGGTTTAGGCCCAACCTTTAGAGAATATTTCCATGAATATGGATTTGCACCTCCCCCTACAGTTACTATCACCCAAGTACAACAGCGATGGATGAGTGAAGGACAATGATGAACTGACCAGTCCAGTTTCACCACCTGAGCTAACATCACAAACAAGCAACATCAGCGGTGAAAAAGAAACAAGATTTTAAAAATTCTCTCTGCTTCGGTAACCTCCACTGTTATCACAATGTACTGTACGTCTATGAATTTGCTGCTGAGTGGGGCTCATTCTTTATAAGAGGAAGTAGCCTTATAATAGTGATCAGAGACACAACTATACAAATACTCCACTCCCTCCAACCCAAAGAGCTGCTCCATGACATTCCCTGTCTACACCTACCTTCCAGGCTGGCATCCCATGGTAGGAGAGCAGACCATTCCGGATGAACTTGTACAATGGAGAGTCAGGCACAGCGTTCAGGTCTCCACACAAGATGACAGGACAGTAGCCGCGCTCAACAGTTTTCACAACCTTGTCAACCTCTGCTAGGAGCAAGGCCATCTGTGCAAGTTTGATATCTCCTCGGCGGGGATTATACAGCACGTGAGTGTTAGCCACACACAGGGGGCTTGTTGCCTTCTGTCCTACATCCTCTGGGAGTAGAGGTTGCAGCAGCAGCACCAGACCCACATTGTCTCTGTTTAGGATGTCCAGGCCAGGCCGGAAATATTCTACAGGGTTGGCACTGATCAGCTGGAACCTGCTGTGCTTGTAGCAAACTGCGCAGCCATCTGTCTTTTTTCCTGTTCTCCGTTTGTATAAGCACACAAAGCCTGAAAAAAAACCACCATCCATCAGGAGGGCCCAAATGGCCAGGAGCCTTGGCTCCTCTTTAGTAAGATGTAGCAAAGTATAGGAAATCTGTTTTGCGGGGTTTAAATAGCACAACCTATGGAGCTCCCACTACTCCCCATGGTAGACTGTTCCGCAGTCCAGCAGACCTCACTGGCAGGAAGATTTTCTTAATACCCAGTTTGAATTTTCCTCTTGCTCATTTTCGGCCCATACTTCTAGTTATGCCCTCAGGGATGCTCTAATCAATCTCTCGTCCTCTGGCTCATGCCCTTGTAGGCAGTACTGTCCCGTTAGCCATCATGTACTATCAAGTGTCTTTTGTTCTCTCTATATAAGCCAGGCCCCTGATGAGTTTTGTTGTTTTCATCAGCCAATCTGGGGAAGAATCGGTCACAACAGGAACAGGACACCAATTGAAAGGGTGCAGACAGCTTCAGAAATGTGGCCATCAAAACCTGGGGTGGGGACTACTTCTGTAAACAGAAGTATAGCTCTGGAGCTATCGACATGGAGTGTTCTCAGCAAGTCTCAGCCAAACCTGTAGAAAAGAGAGGGACATACCCATCATCCTGAATGTTGGCTCCAGCTGCTCCCAGTAGTGATTCTCCTGCACTTCCTGGAGACACAGAACCTGCAAGGAAGGCAGAGACCTAGCTCACTCTGCCATTGTTTGGCAATTGCTTTGGGGAGCTTTTGTGGAGAGGGGAGAGGAGTTGGGACAGTGAGGGAAGAGAGGGAAAAACAGTTTCCCACACTTAACCCCTTCACCAAGAAATGCTGTCTAAGCAACTTTTCCTCCAGCTAGAGCACTGGCTCTCAACCTTTCCAGAGGACTGTACCCCTTTCAGGAGTCTGATTTGTCTTGTGTACCCCCAAGTTTCATGTCACTTATGTTAAGGAAAAGTTAGCACATGTGACTCCATTTTGGTTTGGGGCCCACCATTGTTTAAATGCCAGCACATCATACACCAGGAGGAGTAATCCTTAGATATTGAATCCCTGTGAAAATCCTCCTCCTTGTCTCCAGCCTGCCTTGACTCCCAGTATCTGGTTTTTGTCAGTCTCTAACTCCCTGTCTCTTGGCCTTGATGTGAGGCCTCCCATCCTGATAATAAAAGTTACTGATGCATGGCTTTAGGACCATGCTGTGTAATTAACATACTGGTATAGCACGAGGAATGCACCAAGCAGGGATAGGTGGTAGATAAGACAAGGGTTTGTTTATTGGCTAAGGTTTCCGATGCACGAGGGCAACATGCTTTGCTAAAAGGTATATAACCTTTGTATAATCTGCATTCAGGGTCCCCTCCTGGCTAGCAGGGGGGCACCACGCTCGAGCGTAATAAACTTAGTGTCTTTTGGGAACTCTGCAGTTGTGGACTTTGTTTCTGTGTCTCAGCCTAGATTCGAACTGTGCGTGTCCTACCAGGTGTAATTCGCAGCACTGGTGTGCGTGTCCTACCAGGTGTAATTCGCAGCACTGGTGTGCGTGTCCTACCAGGTGTAATTCGTAACAGTTTAAAACTACTTGCTTACAAAATCAGTCATAAAAATGCAAAAGTGTCATAGCACACTATTACTGAAAAATTGCTTACTTTCTCATTTTTACTATATAATTATAAAATAAATCAATTGGAATATAAATATTGTACTTACATTTCAGTGTATAGTATACAGAGCAGTAAAAATAAATCATTGTCTATGACATTTTAGTTTGTACTGACTTTGCTAGTGCTTTTTATGTAGCCTGTTGTAAAATTAGGCAAATATCTAGATGAGTTGATGTACTCCCTGGAAGTCCTCTGCTACCCCCAGGGGTACACGTACCCTTGGTTGAGAACCAATGAGACAGAGCATGCAGGACAACTTCTGAAGCACATACTTCTCCTTCAGTTATCCAGTGGGGAAGCAAGAGTGAAATAAAATTCACTTCTCATCCTTAGCGGTGAGCACACTTCTTCCTCAGCATGCTAAGCTAGCCTGAGGAACACAGAAGTAAGCAAGGAACAGGAAGTCCACCCTCATGTAGGCCTCTTCTCTGGGCTTGTTCCAGACTGCCCTATAGGCTCTGCCTCCTCGCCAAGGACTGCAGCAGGCTGTCCTGCTCCCACTTCTATTAGGAAAAGTTGAGCCCCTCCAATCAAAGAATAGATCCTAGTAAGGTTATAGGAGCCAGTGGGCACATAACCAGGGACCCTAATAACTCCAGAGGCACTGGCTTCATACCCCAAAAACTCTGGTGATAGCGGACATGAAAGGGCCTGGGTAGTACTCACATCAGGGTCCCAGTGCTGGATTTCCTGCAAGAGGTTTGGGAGACGATAGCTCCAGTCCAGGATATCTGGTTGGCAATGCAGGTAGAGATCACTGCTCTGCTCCACCAGGTCCTGGGCCAGAATGTTGTAAGACATGACTCGGAATTCAAACAGAGGCCCATTCTCTGAGCCCAGCTCTGGAACCGCAAACCGTGTAGAGAGATCCTCCCAGTCCCTCCATAAAATCTCTATATGTAAGAGAGAGGAAGACAGGTCAGATATATGCTGGGTATCCTTCCCTGTCCTATTTCCTGGAATGCCCCTGCTAGCTGGGGCACTGGGATTAGCTGTTCTCTTGTTCCCTGAATCTGGGCATTTTGTACTCTACATCGGCCCTCGGATGATTTTCTTTGATTAATCTGAATAGCTGTCAACAGGGATGGAATGGCAGGGTCCTAGTGGGGAGAAAATGTTTTAGAAAAACTCAAGCCATTCTTTGGAGGCCATCTCCAATATGAAGTGGGCACTTATGTTAACTTCACAGGAATTGTGATTAGCAACACTAGCCAACCCAATAATGCCAGAAGTCTTGGCCTTTCCATCAGGAAAGATTACTTTTATCATTTTCATTACCAGATGCAATCATCCTGGCATGGAAAGATGCAACCTCTGCCTAACAGACAGCAAGTGCAGACATACCCAGCTCACCCAGGATTTAGCATCCACATGCAGGGAGATCAGAAAGTTTTGTTACACTACCTCATCCCAATCTAGCACTGCATGCTCAGAATCAAAAAAGGCTGTATTACTACTGACCGTGGTAAGGTCTCTCTGCTGGAAAAGGCTGGAATTGTCCTGTGTCATAAAAGGGCCAGGCTGTGGCCTCCACTGGCACTATCTCTGTGTCATGCACTAAGCTCCAGTCCAGCACAGCAGTATCTTCATCCTCCCTTTCCAGGGCTGAAGGGGTGCAGCCACTAATCTGGTGATCGGTCTGTGTCCTTACAGCTGGCCATGCTGCAATGCCCACCATAGCCACACTTTCCTCTTCTGGTAATTTTGCCAATGTTACTGCAGCATGCTCCTTTGGTCCTAGAGATATTAATGTATGTAGCTCATCGTCTTGCTGATCACTGCACCATGTGACCTCTGAAGCCACATTCAGATTGCTAAGGCTGGTCATCAATAATTCTGAGCCTTCCAGCCAGTCACTAGGCACTGTGTCTGACACCTTCGCCACCACGAGAGGACTCTCACTGCTGTGTAGCCCACCAGCTTCCGCCTCCAGCTGCTGCTGCAGCAGGGCTTCCTGCTCTTCTGGGACTGACCTCCTGCTGGGTACAGAAGAGATACCCCCTACCTGGGTGGTCGGGCTCTTCGCCAGAAGCACATTCTTTCGACACGTAAAGAAAGCATCTGTCAGGAAGTCAATACAAGAAATGGTTAAAATCCACAGCTCTCTTCATTTATTGGCTTATTTAGGCTAGAGAAATCAGTTACAATTTGGTGCAATAGAACCATCTGAATACATCAAGAGCACTGAGTGGCTACTCAAAAAAGATGCATAGTTATAGTTCTGAGTAATTAAGGCTGCCTCTTGGACCATATTCTGACTTTAGTTATGCCGGTACAATGCCATTGACTTCAGTGAGCTGGTGCTGGGTTAACTGAAAGTAAAATTTAAGCTGGTTTTATATTATTATTTATACAATGCAATAGGTGGTCAGCAGAGCAGCATCTAAGCCAGAGGTGGGCAAACTCCGGCCCGCGGGACCATTCTGCCCGGCCCTTGAGCTCCCAGCCAGGGAAGATAGTCCCCGGCCCCTCCCCTGCTGTCCTCCCTCCCCCACAGCCTCAGCTCGCTGCACCGCCCACGCTCTTGCCCGCCACTCTTGCCGGGCAGCGCGGCAGGCTCCAGCCGTGCAGTGGGGCTGCGAGTTCCTGCTGCTCTGAGCGGCATGGTAAGAGGGCGGGGAGTGGTTGGATACGGGGTGGGGTCCTGGGAGGGGGTGGTCAGGGGACAAGGAGCAGGGGGGGTTGGATGGGTTGGGTGTTCGGGGGGGGGGAGCAGTCAGGGGATGGAGAACAGGGGGGTTGGATACGGGTTGGGACAGTCAGAGGACAGGGAGCAAGGGATTTGGATAAGGGAGGGGTCCCAGGGGGCAGTTAGGTGTGGGGGTCCCAGGAGGGGGAGGGTTGGATGGGTTGGGGGTTCTGAGGGGACAGTCAGAGGGAGGAAAGTGAGAGAGGGTGGATAGGGGGCGGGGGCCAGGCTGTCTGGGGAGGCACAGCCTTCCCTACCCAGCCCTCCATACAGTTTCGCAACCCTGATGTGGCCCTCGGGCCAAAAAGTTTGCTCACCCCTGATCTAAGCTATAGTACTGCCCTTCTTTAGCATCTTCTATACAAACACAGATACAGATACATTTAGCCACATGGGGCAGAGACATCAGGAAGGAAGTTCTAGCAGCTGACCTTTGGAATGGGTGAATTTTCAGGAAATGAACAAGGGGTCCTCAGCTGGCAGCATGTTTAGATACCAGGAATTTCCATAATTGCAGAGACCCAATATAGAAGACCCATTCCACATTGAATTGTCTTTTCAAATGCATATAAGAAAAGGAGTGGAGAGACGAACAAGGAAGCACAAACATGGAAGTTAAAGATGGAAAAGCCCCATTAGTGAAAACACTACCATGAAAGAAACCATGGTCTGAGAATAGGAAGCCCATGATATTCACCTGATGGCGGTGACTGACATCTGTAATGGGCCAAATACTTCAGTGCATGCTCAACACAAGAACATACTAGTTTCACTAGTATTTCCCCTTTATACTCTTCAAGATGATAAAAGCATTTGTGTTTTTGCTAATATCTCTGTGCAACCATATCCCCATTACTGATTAGCATATTGTGTTCTCTGCAAATCATTCATTCTCTATCCCTCTTTAACCTGGATATTGCTCACTGGAGATTGAGGAGTAAGAACGGTAAGAGAAATGAATGGAACTACAAATCAGAGTTTGTCTACACATAAATGCTTTTCCAAAATAAGTGAATTTAGAATGGATTAGGTATTTCAGAGTAACTGCATGTGTAGACAAGCGCTTATAAAAATGTATTTTTAAATATTCTCAAGGCACTTGGTTTCGGATGCACCCTATTTTATTTTGATGGGGGAGGATGCATAAAGTGGAAACAAAATTAAAATATAATTTTCTAAAGACATTCCCCTTGAAATTGTTTGCTTTAAGTACATTCCCCCAAGAAGAATGATCTACTGCAGTGGCTCCCAAACTTTTTACCTCGCCCCGCCACCCTTACCCCTGTCCACACGCTGCCACCCCCAAGCCGGGAGCGGGGCCGTGGCTCTGGGAGGGGGGAAACACAGAAAGGGTAAGGGGGCTGATGCTAGGGCCACAGCTTGGGGTGGGAGTGGAGCCTCGACCAGCAGCTGTGGCCGACAGCTGAACCCCAGGTGCAGGGCTGGTAGCCAGGACCCTGGCCATGGGGCCAGCGGCTGGGAGCAGATCCCTGGACATGGGGCTGAGAGCAGAGCCCCGGGTGTGGGGCTGGCAGCTGATCCCCGGGCGTGGGGCCAACAGCGGGAGACAGGAGCAGAGCTGAGTGGCACTCTCTCTCCACCCCTCGTGGGGGCTGGCCCAGGCCCCAGCTGCGCCTCTTAGGGGGGCATACCCCACAGATTGCGGACCTCTGCTTAAAAAAACAGGCAGCAGTGTATCTACTGGAGAGACGGGCTCCCCAGGCTAGTGCTGACTATTAGCAATAGAGCAATCAGAATTAGAGTTTCCTGAGGTCTGGAGGAGCTGCTCTCCCTTGTACACAATGGTCAGGGCTGGGAGGAGGACCTAGAGATGGTCTCACCTGACCACTCCACCAAGCCTCCACTCTCTCTTTTAAACCCTCCTCTGATTAGCTGTCAAATTAGATGACTTACTAATCCTTTTACTCCTTTAAAACAAACAGAGAGAGAGAAACTGAATAATTGTTCAGCCAGCTCTAGAGCACAGCTTCAGATGCCTCTTAGCCCTGCCTCCATCTGCCTAGAGCTCAAGCTCCTCAGGGCAGGGACATTGTCTTCTGATGTGAAAGCACTTAGATCACTGCTAAACAGTGCTTAAATTACAGAGGGACTGGAGGGAGGGCTGGACAGTGGGCCCCCTTACTACTTTTAGGGGCTACCTCACTTCTTTAGTCTCACTACTGTTTAAATTAAAGCAAGATACCTGACATTCAGGGCCCTCCCATGATTTTAGCACTGTTGCTAGGCCTATATAAACAATAATAATCAGGCAAGGGGCTATCCAAAACAGCCTGGGAGAATTTGGTCTCCTTGGGGTTCCTCGGTCTCCCCAGAGTTCCCTGAGGAGAGCTGGGGGAGGTACCTAAGAGAGCCTGGGAGAGCTGGTCTCTCCACGAAACATCAGTGAGAGCCAGGTTCACCCCATGCTCGGGAGTTGAGGAGGGTCACTCTGAGGAGGAGGGGGGACCTATCACCCCAGGCCCAGGAGCTGAGGGGCATTTCCCCAGGGTGAGGGGAGGCCTGACATCCCAGGCTAGGGAACAGAGGCGGGTGGTCGCCCCGGGAGGTGGGGGTCGGGGAGGCCTGTCACCCCAGCCCCGGGAGCTGAAGGGGGGGGTCGCTGGGGGGGGGGGGTCGGGGAGGCCTGCCACCCCAGGCCTGGGACCTGAGGGGGTGGGGGTCGCCCCAGGAGGTGGGGGTAGGGGAGGCCTGTCACCCCAGGCCCAGGAGCTCGGGGGGGGGTGTCGCCCGGGAGGTGGGGGTAGGGGAGGCCTGTCAATCCAGGCCCAGGAGCTTGAGAGGGGGGCCACTGTGGGGGGGGGCTGGGGAGGCCTGTCACCCCAGGCCCGGAAGCTCGGGGGGGGGTCACCCCGGGAGGTGGGGGTAGGGGAGGCCTGTCACCCCAGGCCTGGGAGCAGAGGGGGGGTCGCCGGCGTGGGGGGTAGGGGTTTGCCTGTCACCCTAGGCCCGGGAGCTGAGGGAGGGGGGTAACGGGGGGTGGGGGTAGGGGAGGCCTGTCACGCCAGGCCCGGGAGCTGAAAGGGGGGTTGCCGGGGGGGGGGGTGTTGGGGAGGCCTGTCACCCCAGGCCCGGGAGCTGAAGGGGGGGTCGCCGGGGGGGGGGGGTCGGGGAGGCCTGTCACCCCAGGCCCGGGAGCTGAAGGGGGGGTCACCGGGGGGGGGGGGGCCTGTCAGGCCTGGGAGCTGAAAGGGGGGGGGCCTGTCACCCCAGGCCCGGGAGCTGAAGGGGGGGCGGGGGCCTGTCACCCCAGGCCCGGGACTGAGGGGGGCCAGGGGGCTGAAGGGGGGGGCCAGGGGGGCTGTCACCCCAGGCCCGGGAGCTGAAGGGGGGTCGCCGGGGGGGGTCGGGGAGGCCTGTCACCCCAGGCCTGGGAGCTGAAGGGGGGCGGGGGCCTGTCACCCCAGGCCCGGGAGCTGAAGGGGGGGCCAGGGGGCTGTCACCACAGGCCCGGGAGCTGAAGGGGGGGGGTCGGGGAGGCCTGTCACCCCAGCCCCGGGAGCTGAGGGGGGTCACCCCGGGAGGTGGGGATAGGGGAGGACTGTCACCCCAGGCCCGGGAGCTGAGGGGGGGGGGTCGCCGGGGGGGGTCGGGGAGGCCTGTCACCCCAGGCCTGGGAGCTGAGGGGGGCGTCGCCGGGGGAGGGTCGGGGAGGCCTGTCATTCCAGGCCTGGGAGCTGAGGGGGGCGTCGCCGGGGGGCTGTCACCCCAGGCCCGGGAGCTGAGGGGGGGGTCCGCCGGGGGGGGGTCGGGGGAGGCCTGTCACCCCAGGCCCGGGAGCTGAAGGGGGGGCCAGGGGGCTGTCACCCCAGGCCCGGGAGCTGAAGGGGGGTCGCCGGGGGGGGGGGTCGGGGAGGCCTGTCACCCCAGGCCTGGGAGCTGAAGGGGGGCGGGGGCCTGTCACCCCAGGCCCGGGAGCTGAAGGGGGGGGCCAGGGGGCTGTCACCACAGGCCCGGGAGCTGAAGGGGGGGGGGGGGAGGCCTGCACCCCAGCCCCGGGAGCTGAGGGGGGTCACCCCGGGAGGTGGGGATAGGGGAGGACTGTCACCCCAGGCCTGGGAGCTGAAGGGGGGGGGCCCCCGGGAGCTGAAGGGGGGGCCAGGGGGCTGTCACCCCAGCCCGGGAGCTGAAGGGGGGCAGGGGCTGTCACCCCAGTCCGGGAGCTGAAGGGGGGGTCGGGGAGGCCACCCCAGCCGGGAGGAGGGGGTACCCGGGAGGTGGGGAAGGGGGGACTGTCACCCCAGGCCCGGGAGCTGAGGGGGCGTCGCCGGGGGGGGTCGGGGAGGCCTGTCACCCCAGGCCTGGGAGCTGAGGGGAGGGCCGGGGGGCTGTCACCCCAGGCCCGGGAGCTGAGGGGGGGTCACCCCGGGAGGTGGGGATAGGGGAGGACTGTCACCCCAGGCCCGGGAGCTGAGGGGGGGGTCCGCCGGGGCGGGGGTCGGGGAGGCCTGTCACCCCAGGCCCGGGAGCTGAGGGGGGGTCCGCCGGGGGGGGGTCGGGGAGGCCTGTCACCCCAGGCCCGGGAGCTGGGGGGGGTCGCCCCGGGGGGCTGTCACCTCGGGCCCGAGGTGATCTAGCTGCTCCACGACCCGCCAGTCAGGGCGGGCTGCAGGAGCGTCCACAGGGCCCGTGGTCCTGGCTGCAGCCCTGGGCGCAGGCAATAGGGGGCGGGGCCGCACGGGCCGTGGGAGGGGTCCGGGGCGGGGGGCTGTTACCTCGGAGGGCCCGGAGGAGCCGCGCCGCTGGCAGCAGCAGGTAGCAGAGCACGGTGCCGATCATGCCGCCCGGCCCGATCCTCTCCCAGCCCGGCTCCGCCTCGACAACAACTTTATTGGGAGCCGCCGGCGGCTCGGCCCGGCCTTGGCACAGCGCTGCCCCGCGCCCCCGGCATGGATTCCGCCCGTCCGTCCTGGGGCCGGAGACCGAGCGCGGCGGGGAGCAGAGCTGGGGGGATGAGGCCTGTAAACTTTCCCAGGAGCTCCAGGCCGCCTGCTCTCCCAACCTCTGTGTGGATGAGTCTGCGTTGTGAAGCGGTGCTGCGTGTGATCCCGTTTGGGTGTCCGCCCATCTCACACCTAGGGTTGCCATTCAAGTTCCTGAATAGAGGACGCTGCACCAGCGGGAGGGGACAGCTGGGGGTTGCGGGAGGGGTGTGTGTACCGAAAGTGGTATTTGGGACGGTTCGGGAGTGGTATTTGGGGGACGCTGGATGGATGTGTGTGTACTAGGAGGGGTATTTGGGGGTGCTGGAGGGGTATATGTATTGGGAGGGATATTTCGGGGTGCTGGAGGGGTGTGTGTGTGTACAGGGAGGGATATTTGGGAAGCACTGGAGGGGTGTGTGTGTACTGGGAGGGGTATTTGGGGGGTGTTGGAGGGGGCATTTGGGGGGGTGCTTGTGGCCTCACTCTCGAGGTTGTGGGCAGTGTCGTGCTCCTTGTCACAGTGGTAGGGCAGTTGGTGCAGGCCCGGGACACAGCACCAGCCTTCAGGCAGCACAGCCCTGCAGGGCTGTCACCCTCCCTAGGGTCGGGAGCATGGCCCTGGCCTGCTCACCCGTCCTAGCTGGGCTCTGAGGCCCCACGGCAGGGCAGGTAGCCCGATGGAGAGGTGCTTGGTGGCTCCACTTATTTGGCAGGCCAGGATCTGACAGCTGAGGGTGCATGGGAAGGGACCAATTGGGACATGGAGATGGCTCTTTCTGAGTGGCAACATCAGATCCACAAAAAAAAAATCCCAGACATTTCCTCTTATTTGAAAAATCTGCCTGGACAGAGATCGGTAGACTAAAAAAGAGGTCATGTCTGGGACGACCTGGACATATGGTAACCCTAATCATACCTGCTCAGAGCTGTGTGGTGTCCCATGGAGGCAATCAGGCAGGAGCAGCATATATTACACCCGTCTGGGCTGTATTGTACATTACCTTAATAGTGCTGGATGTTTATCAAAACTGGGCCTAAACAAGAATTCCATCAACTCCAAATGGGCCCTGAATTCACGTACCTAACCACCTTTTCCACTCACATTGGCCAATGCGTTACAAAAGATTGTAATATCTGGCTGCAGAAACATTTCCTAATGCCGTCTAATCCATCCTGTAAGGTGTGTGCAGAACAGTATATCAAGACCATGACGATGCACTAAAGAAAATCCTAGAATGCCCCCATATTAAACAGGGACAAGATCAATTTTTTAAAATCTACTTAAAAGTCTTTGGACATGTATTTTCAAACAAGAGTCATCTCATATCCTTCGAAAATCAAAACAATAAAGCATATAGTCTTACTGAACAATTGCAGATATTAAGTCATTTTAGGCATGAATAGTTATTGATCATGCTGCCTTCCTAATTTTGCAAGTGTAAGTGCTCCCCTTCAGGATCTTATGAAATATTATACAAAATCTGTATGGGCAAAAGCACAGTCTGAAGCAGGTGATGTCATCATATGTAGCCTTGATGAACATATGAGATGTTGTCCTTCAACCCTTCCTTTAATAGAAGACTGACTGAAGCCCTCTGTCAAGGTTCCTTCCCCACTCTGAACTCTAGGGTACAGATGTGGGGACCTGCATGAAAACCCCCTAAGCTTATTTTTACCAGCTTAGGTTAAAACTTCCCTAAGGTACAAACTATTTTACCTTTTGCCCTTGGACTTTATTGCTGCCACCACCAAGCGTCTAACAAATATATAACAGGGAAAGAGCCTGCTTGGAAACGTCTTTCCCCTCAAAATCCTCCCCAAACCTTACACCCCCTTTCCTGGGGAAGGCTTGATAAAAATCCTCACCAATTTGCATAGGTGAACACAGATCCAAACCCTCGGATCTTAAGAACAATGAAAAAGCAATCAGGTTCTTAAAAGAAGAATTTTAATTGAAGAAAAAAAGTAAAAGAATCACCTCTGTAAAGTCAGGATGGTAAATACCTTACAGGGTAATCAGATTCAAAACAGAGAGAATCCCTCTAGGCAAAACCTTAAGTTACAAAAAGACACAAAAACAGGAATATACATTCCATTCAGCACAGCTTATTGTATCAGCCATTTAAACAAAACAGAATCTAACGCATATTTAGCTAGATTACTTACTAAGTTCTAAGACTCCATTCCTTTTCTCTTCCCGGCAAAAGCATCACACAGACAGAGAGAGCCTTTGTTTCTCCCCCCACTCCAGCTTTGAAAGTATCTTGTCTCCTCATTGGTCATTTTGGTCAGGTGCCAGCGAGGTTATCCTAGCTTCTTAACCCTTTACAGGTGAAAGGGTTTTTCCTCTGGCCAGGATGGATTTTAAAGGTGTTTACCCTTCCCTTTATATTTATGACAGGTTTCAGCGTAGCAGCCGTGTTAGTCTGTATTCGCAAAAAGAAAAGGAGTACTTGTGGCACCTTAGAGACTAACAAATTTATTTGAGCATAAGCTTTCGATGAAGTGAGCTGTAGCTCACGAAAGCTTATGCTCAGATAAATTCATTAGTCTCTAAAGTGCCACAAGTACTCCTTTTCTTTATACACAAGTAGTAATACACAGAACTGGAAAGACTAACTCTGCTGACTGTATCTCCAAACATCCCTTAAAAACAAACCCATCACCTGCTGATGAGCACATTAATCATATCTCTATCAAAACAACTCTGAAACCTCTAGCCAAAAAGGACATTGCTGACATGTTGTTCACAGAACCTGCACTGACTGCTGCAAGACGGTTCATAAGACAAAATGATTGGTGATCTGCAGAGCATTTTCAAAATAACATAATTTTGTTTCAAAACCACAGACCAAAATTTACCATGCATGAATCTACCTAAGGTACTTATATGGCCTCCATTACCATCTCAACACCTCACAAGTCTTTACTGTATTTATCACAACACTACTGTGAGGAAGGGACATTACTATTATCCCTATTTTACAGCTGGGGCACAGACAAAGTGACTTGTCTAAAGTCATACAGAAAGTCTGTGACAGAGCAGATAACTGAACTCAGGTCTCAGAAGTGTTAGGCTAGCATCTTAACTACTAGACTATTCTTCCTTTTTGTTCAGCTACAGAAACGGAAGGTGATATTACTAATAGCGCAGAGGCAGCAGCCTATTGAAACAGCAAATGATAATTACTTGGGCATTTTTAAAACAAAGTCGATCTTTGACAGAAGAGGTATAGTATCCAAGAACCATCCAACATTGAGACAATCACACTGAAATATGTGAGGACTGTTAACTAGTGGAACATGGAAAATTAATTAGTACCACAAGCAAGCAAATGTCTGAGCTACCAAAATTGTAATGCCTGCACTAGAAAAATTATTCACAAACAAAATCAAAACATACAATGGGCCTGCATTTCAAGGTCAAAACTTCCATTGGCTTACGCAACATTTTACTCTTCTGCACCAAAGAATAACCCTATTTGAACTCTGACAACTGGAATCGTTGAGAGATTTGCGCTTAATATGGGTAAACAAAACTACCAAAGTTTCTAAGATACCCAGGTCTTTGGGGCAGGGACTTTTTCTTTATATCTATATAGCACTTAGCAATCTGTGTGTGCTATATACATTGTGAAACCTCTATGAGAAACTATCTTTATTGGGCTACCTCCTCTAGGGGAAGACTGCCCTTAAATGTCCTGAGTATAGTTCTCCTCCACCTTTATCAAAAAGCCTCCTTTGTTAAGAAAATGATTTTTGTCAGCCTTTTGAGTGGTCCTCTAACACTGTAAATAAATAAAAAGCACTGATCCAATTCCTTTGACAATTCAATGGAGCCGTCTCATCTTTGGGATCAGTTAAGATTGCTTGGATAAATAATAAATACCTGGGTTTAGGGCACTTTTAGGTACTTATATCATTACAGAGCACATCTATATACAGTAGGCAAGAAGCAGTTACTCAAGTTGGAATCTGTTCAGGACATGGGGACTTATAAACCAACTTTTGCAAAAAGTGCTGAGAGTTCTTTAAAGACTACAAATGGTCATGACTGAATTTCTCATCTGAAAATGTACCGGGCTGGTACATTGATTCACTAGTGATTCTGAGGGGTGAGCACCCCTTGCCAGCTTATTAGCACCACTTTCTGAAACACTTATCCAAATGCTGACCGGTTCTGATCCTACTTAATGAGATCTGATGCACCCAAAGGTGATGCACCCAAAGACTGATGTGATATGACTGCAGGATATCTCGTGGTAAGTTTAGAATCATAGAATCTCAAGGTTGGAAGGGACCTCAGGAGGTCATCTAGTCCAACCCCCTGCTCAAAGCAGGACTAATCCCCAATTTTTGCCCCAGATCCCTAAATGGCCCCCTGAATGATTGAACTCACAACCCTGGGTTTAGCAGGCCAATGCTCAAACCTCTATCTTGAGTCACAATGTCCAGATGAGGTCATGGAATGCTTGAGAAGAAATGAAAGAGGGGCCTTGCAAAAACTTGCCACATGACCCAGGCAGCCCCAGTGACTGGGAAATGATCTTCCTATTCAGAAACAGTATAAATCAAGATTACAAATCGTATAGATGACACCCTTGCTCCTGGAGGTTTTCTGTGATTGACAATTAGAGTCGAGTGGCTGTGGCAGGGGTTTTGTGTGAGGAGGTCATAGGGTGTCAGACAGAGATGACTGTAAACTACTAATTCGCAGAGGAGAAAAAGCAAAGTAACAAGCAGCACTCTCAGAGTGGTGACAAGGACACGCAACATGGAACATGAATTTTCTGACTCAGAGGAGGATGAAGGTGGGATTTTTAGTTAATAAATTGTTTTTAAAATAAACTAAGGAAAACCACCACAGGTGTTACCACTGCTATAAGAGGGCTCCATATGCATGTAAGGCTCACACACCACACCCAAACTGGGCAATTAGGTAGCCATTAGTGAAAAATTGAGCCTGCTGAAATAAACCGGGATGTATAGTGCATATACACTCAGGTAAAAACATAGCAGCTGCCATACCGGAGCAAACCGTTGGCCTATGTTAGGGGTGGGCAAACTTTTTGGCTCGAGGGCCAAATCAGGGTTGCAAAACTGTACAGAGCCAGGTAGGGAAAGCTGTGCCTCCCCAAACAGCCTGGCCCCCTCCCCCT